TGCAAAGAAAGTGGAACTTGAATTGAATCCTAGAGAATGGGTAGAGTTTAGCTTAGTTGGAAGGAGAGGGAAGGGTGTTGGTAGGGGTAGAGTTCATACTGGAGAGTGCTGAAGATGCAGATGGATAGAGAAGGTAGGACCAAAGTCTGAGGGTTGGGGAAGAACTAGATTTTAATCTGTGGGCCTAACATTTTAAGTAGCAGCTTGAATTTTTATTTATTTTATATTTTAGTTAGAATAAAAGTCCTCTTTCAAAGTATATTTCCAAGTTATTCATGTTGGCATTGGAGGGTTACTGAAGAAGTGGTGTGATGAAAACAGAATTTCAAGACGGTCTGCCGGTGATAGATACAGAAGGAGTTGAGGAAAGCAGACCTGGAAGGAAAAAGAGCAGCAGAGAGACCAATGCTTACATTAGCTCAAGCAATGATGTCTGGCCTGGGCTAATGTAGGCATGCACAAACATTTAATAGCTGTCTTATGTTGGTTCCACAGAAATAAAACCTGAGAGGAGGATTAATGTGATAATAAATCACATGATTTATTAAGGAAGTACTTCCAAAAGAAAATAGTAAGGGATTCAGTAGAACAAAGCAGAATAGCAACAGAGGGCAAAGAAGGGTGTGATTTCAGGCAAAGTTCCAACCTCAGCCTGATCTGGAAGGGGGGGCTCTCAAAGTTGTCCCAACTTGAGTAACAGGATGGTCTTTCAGTCTCTGCACTCAGGCATTGCTGGCGAATCATGGGAAGGCGAAGTGAGGGAGTAAAATCTCAGGTACTTTTTTTTTTTTTTTTAACCTTTGGGACATAGCAGATCTAATAGCCCAAGAGCAGTCATCTGAAGAAAGTCTCAAGTGAAGTGATTAGAAGCAAAGTATACAGAATGGGTGAGACAACAGGTGGTGTAAATTTTCTCGTAAAACCTTAAAATTTGCCAAGAATGAGCTTGCAGAAGTGAGATAGATGATAACCAGATAGATAGATAGGTAGATAGGTAGGTAGCTAGGTAGATAATACACAAATCGAGATGTTAGATATAAACCACTGTATTGGTGACTTACCCAGATGTTAAATCTTTTGCTCTTCCTGTTGTGCAGAAAATTTGTCCAGATAATCCAATAGCTCATAGTAGGATCTATAATATCTGTAAAATGTGTTTTAAATGTACAGTGTTATACACATACAGCCCAAAGCAGCCTTGTTTAGTTGGCATGATCTCCACCTCCTCTCACATGAACTCTTCCCCATGCATAAGTGAGATACATGCTTTTTCTTGAGGAGTTATAACTAGAATTTGATTTAGCTCAATAAATGGGAGCTGAGTGCACTCATTAGGAAAATGGGAGTAGGGTTGTTGGGCAGTGATGCATGCAACCGCATTTGAGATTCATGGTCATAAATTTAAAGTGAGATCAATCTAAAAGTTATTTAATTTTTGTTTAGCAACATTCGGTATCACAGAAGCAGAGCTGGTGGTTAGCCAAATAAGTATAATGAAATGGAAAAGGTTAAGAGAGTTAAATGTTCGCAGGGTAATGATTATAGTGATGGACCATGGAATCTAGGCTAGGTCCAAAAAAAAAAAAAAATGATAGGGTCAATGAATTAATCAGAGGTCTTGATGTGGTCAGTGAATTGCTGAGTTCAGTATAATAGGTAAATGAGCCAAAGTTAATGGGCAGGGAGAAGAATGCTTGAAATTGCGATTGAAGTGCTACAATTTTTCCCGATGACAAGATTAAGAATAAGACTTTGAGAATGGATGGTATAGGTGAGTTAGAGGAAAAGAATACTGAAGCTGAGGAGGTCAAAGAAATGAGAAACTAGGGTGTTCAACAGATTATCCAAGTAGATGTAAATTTTCAAGAATGATGACAGGAAAAGGAGTGAAAATTTTCAAAGTTCTTTAGCCTCCTACCTAAGCAAACAAAAACAACGGGAAACAAAACCTAACAAACTCTTTAAGATGTCCTGCATGGATAAGCAATTAACTTCCACAGCAGTGTTTATTCATCTTGGCACCTAGAATCAGGCATAATGATTATCTAAGTAACATAAAATCACTTCACTTTTATTTACACTGAACATTTATATATACAAAGACAATGTCAAATCTTCAGGTTTCCCTTAATAATTATTCAACGTCACCCTGGATTACTGATCAAAAGCTATAGGGTCATTAAGGAAAAGAATTTTAAATCTATGCAGGTGTTATAAAGAGACAACTATCCATCACATTTAATTAAAATTCAAGGAAATAGCCTGAATGGGACTGATGGATTACTCTTCGTTACTTTTTGTATAATCAATTGCTTGTATCTACCTAGTTCCCGAAGGTACCTCTGGTCATCTTTGTTCCAAACATAATACCACACGATTTTGGGACAGATGGTGAAGGATATTGGGTGAAAGATATATTCACACAAGAGCAGGGCTAACACGTACATGAATTGAGCAGATTGCATGTTCATTCGGTTTATAATATAGACCTTATCTTACACTTGCATAGATTCTCTAGTCATTTCTTATTTTACACCCAACTAAGAAACTTTAAGGAAGGATTCATATGTTCTGTTTCCTTTTCTTTTGAACATATGATCTGTTTATTTGTTTGTTTGCTTGCTTCCTTATTTATTTAAACATATCCTCTAGTGTATCCCAAGGAGCCTTGGTGGCACAACGGCTAAGCACTTGGCTGCTAACCGAAAGGTTGGTAGTTCGAATCCACTAGCCTATCCATGGAAGAAAAGACCTGGCGATCTGCTCCTGTAAAGATTACAGCCTAGGAGACCCTATGGGGCAATTATATTCTGTCCTATAGGGTTGCTATGCATCGGAATCGACATGACGGCACACAACAACAACAAATGTATCCCACTATACAAACAAGTTGAAATTGATTCAACAGCAACGGGTTTTTTATGCAAACAAGTAGCCAATCAAGTTCATTGAATAATCATGAAGTAGTGCCAGTATTTATCAGGTGAGGCCATTAGATAATGGGACAATTGTAGGCAGATGTCTTTTTGTGGAGAGTGGAAAGGGAAGTAGAGTGACAGAAAAGGATGAAGCTCGTGGATTAGACTGCTTCAGCCACCTATAGAAAGTGAGTTTTTAAACTCAGTTTCTTCATCTGTGAAATGTGGTACTAATTTCTGTTACTATAATTAGAATAAATTTCAAAAGGAAGTAAAAATGCATTGTAAACCAAAAAATATAGAGAATAATATTTTTATTTAGCGTTAGCGGCATAATTGTGCCAAGATGTTGCACGTGCTCTAAAATGTAGCTCAAAGAAGATTATTTCAAATGTAGGGTTCTCTTGTTTGTTACTGCACATACCAGAGTATGCTTTTGATTTTTAAGAAGTCCTAGCTGTGAAAATGCATTTATAAATCAGACGTATAATTAAGCCTAAAGATTTGTGAAAACAGTGATATCAGCAATAGGAAACAGGAAGAAGGTAGATGCTGACCCTTTCCAGATGCTGAAAATAGGGTTAGACTTGGAAATACGGTTGGCTGTAAAGCAGGAGCCAGAGCCAACTTTACCAACAGACGGGGAAGCAGTTGGTTGCCTCGTATATTCCAAAGAAGGCAGCCCTCTCTCAAAGGACTTCTGCTACTCAAGAAATGAAGTGCCTGGCATTCCTATATTAAAGACATCCTTTGGGTAAAGAATTCTCCAAGTCCCTAATTTGGGGTTGGAAGGTTAAACAGAGCATTCTCTTAAGTCACAAATCTTGATGCAGATTAATTCATTGGTTGGAATCAACCTTTAAAGGAGGATATAAAAAAGGATCAGAGAAGTGGGCATCTCTGGAAAAGAAACAGAAGAAGGAATATGGAGCAAGGGCGATCAAATCTGGAGGGCACTTTACCTTCTTAATCATTGTACTTCAGGTTGGTTCTGCAGTTTGCTGTTTGCATCATCCAATCTGTGGAAAAGAGAGAATGAAAGGAGGAAAACAGTAGGAGAAGGAAGATAGAGAGCAAGAAAAGAAGGGAGGTGGGTGGGGAAGGGCTGATTTGAAAGAGGTGAAGATGCAGCTAAGCTAATAAAACATATAGGAAGTAAATACCCCTGTGAGATACCAAAACCCAAACCAAATCCTTTGCTGTTGAGTTGATTCCAGTTCATGGCAACCCCATGTGTGACAGAGTGGAATTCCCCCATAGGGTTTTCTTTGCTGTAATCTTTATGAAAGCCATTCACCGAGTCTTTTTTCCACAGAGCGATTGGGTGGGTTCGAATCACAAACCTTTAGGTTAGTAGCTGATCTCAAACTGCTTGCACACCCAGGCTCCTCTACAAGATACTCATCTTGCTTATTTCTCTAGCTTCATCTTGTTCTACTCTCCTCATTCGCCTTGGTCCAGGCTCTCTGGCTTTCTTTCCATTCCCAGGGCACACCTAGCTCTTTCCCTTTTCAGTCTCTTCCTACCCTCTCTGTGGAACACTGTCCTCCTTCTCAGCCAACAGCCAGGACAGGCCTCCGCCTTCTGCCCTTTGAACACTCATCCTTGAAGTCTCAAATTAAATATTATTTCTGAGATCCTTTCCTGAGCCCCTGTTTTACATTAGCCCCCTAAGTTATACTTGCTAATAACAACTTTACGGCCCATTTTACAGTTTGCAGTCATACATTTATTTGAACGATCCTGTGTTTAATCTCTCTTTCTCCCTCTAGCTTGGAAGCTCCATGACGGCATGTCACTCTAGTTCACCATCTACCCCCAAAGGCTACCAGAGTCATTCAGTAAAACCTGTTGAATACATAAGCCAACATAACAGCACTTTTGTTTTTGTCCTTTGGGCTATGAATATCCGCAGGTGGCAATGATTATTGCTGTCAAAATAGGAGCATTTGTGAACTGACAGATTTTTAAACTCATCTAACAGACTACAGTGTATTACGTCTGATCTACATGTTTAAACTGAAGAAAATTAGAACAGGGAACTTTACTAGATGGATAACTCTCAGTGCCTTGGTATTTCAGGTTGGAATTGTACAATATGGAGAAAACATAACCCATGAGTTCAACCTCAATAAGTATTCATCAACAAAAGAAGTACTTGCTGCAGCAGATAAAATAGTCCAGAGAGGTGGTCGCCAGACTATGACAGCCCTTGGAATAGACACAGCAAGGTATATGCGTCAAAAAATAAACCCAAGTAAAAGACTGAAAAAACAACTGCTTACGATCTAACCATTCGACGTGTTGATTGAACATTTACCTTGGTGATATCTTAAAGTCATCTTTTTTAAAGCTAGATTCAACTGATCAACTTATAGGAACCAGATCAGGTTTTTCTATAATATTATCTCACCACACTTATCTTTCCCTGTTATCCCAAGGGTTTAACTGATGGAGATTCAGTCAAAAAATTACTGCTTAATGTTCTTGAGTACTAAGACTTAATATTAGTGAATATCTTTTTCCTTTATTCTTTGTTTTCAGATCCTAGGAGTCCCAATCTAAAAAAAAATAGATTAAAAATCAGTCTGCTTCTACTCAATATATATGTATATCCTAGTATGTCTATAAATTTTCCAGTACTGTATTTGAGGTTATTAAAGATGTCAAATAAGAATGTCTAAGGGGCTAAATTAAGTATCACCTTATTTGAACTGATTTTCAGTGCAAAAGTTGAAATTTGAAAGGATTTGATCATTCATAATGGTCTCTCTTCCTTCTTCCTTACTTTCTCTAAATTCCCTTCTATTGACATCCTCTCCTTTGTCCCTTCTACAGTTGCCTTCATGAAAAGCACATTAACCCACTCTGTGGTTGGCTTGCATTTCATAAGAATCTACATAACTATTCTTCTCTTACCATACAGAACATTTTATTTTCTGTACTTTCTCCTATCTCATTTTCAGCTCTTATCTCCTCCTGTCTCTCTCCTTACCCAATGCCATCAAGTCGATTCCGACTCATAGCAACCCAATAGGACAGAGCAGAACTGCCCCATAGAGTTTCCAAGGACTGGCTGGTGGATTCAAACTGCAGACCTTTTGGTTACCAGCTGATCTCTTAACCCCTGTGCCACTAGGGCTCCGTCTCTCTCTTTAGTTACCAGTAAAGTTTCTAAGCTATTGAATGAAAACCAAACAATACCAAAAATCACAGGAAATCTAACAAATAGTTTGACTAATATTAAGAATTCTTCTGTTAAGTGTCATCAACTTCTGGACTCTCATCTGGTTTTCAAGAGCTTAGTATCCATGTTCTCACTTCTTCCACCTGCTAAGGTCAGTGTTTTAAGAGTGTTCAAGTAGTTAATATGAACACTCCAAAGACGAGGTCAGATATTCAAAACTTTAAAATTTCACATGCAGCTTTGACTCATAAATGTTAGAAAAGCATGTGTGGCTTTAGTTATAAGAGGTCCAAGAGAAAATAATCACAAATGGATGGGGTAATTTTACGTTTACCTGCTGAAAGGATCACCAGTTTGCATGCATAACCTGCACATGTCGTGGTGTACTGAATGCGCCCGCAGAAATAATTGACTAGATGTGACTGCACATTCAGAATAAATCAAAGTGTTTTTTGAAAGCTTTAAGGCTGTAGGGAGCTGTGCATTTTCCAAAGGCAACCACTTAAGAATGAATATTCATCTTTGAAAACTCACTGAAGAAATATTCTGGCTGCTTTTTCTCACGCATAAATACCACTCTAAATACCATGCCCCTATATGGTTTTTGCCTATGTGTTTCACAAAGGGTCTAGCTGTAGGACACAGAGATAATTGAGTTTTGAATATAATAAAAAGCCCATAATGCTGTTAATAAGTGTTCTTGTACATTAGTTTTTTGTGCTTGGGCATGTTTTTAATTGCTTCAGTATTCTTTCAAGCAGGGCCAGATGCAAACAATATTTTTAATTTTTTAGAATCATTTACCTCCATTTTCAGTGTATCCCAATTCATAAGAATTTTTGAGTCCCTTTTTCTCCCCCCTATTTTCTTTCCTTTCAATAGGCATAAGTGTTTAATCATAAGGCCTGAATTCTCCATGTTCCAAGAAAAGGGATCTTACTGAGATATTTGCATTTTAAAAAGCTTGCAGGGAAGTCAGTGCTTAGTTCTAAGAAAGGACATTGAATACTAGTGTTTTGGATACACGGGCAACTTTCTGAGTAACATACGTGAAACACAGAGGGTGCTCTACAGAGTTCAGCCAGTGGCTGCTCTTATGTTATATAAAGCCAGACTGGTTTCAGCTACCAGATTTTCTACAAAAAAGGTCTTTTATAAACATCTCTTTCTGCTGGTGTTCATTCGGTCAGCCCTTGATCTTCAAGAGAATGAGGTGGTGGTCCTCTAAGTAATTAGATCTGCAAATAGGATTGATTTCACATGATATCCATTTCCATTGTTTGAAAGACTAGCCTTTAACAGAAAATCTGTTTGTGTGGTGTAGAGGGCAGAGATACACAGACCTCTCGTGATCAATTTTTAAAAATATTTTTTCTTTTAGTTTGGAAAATTTAGGAAAAATAGAAAAGTATGAAGAATAGACAACAAAATCCTGTATACCCACCACATAGAATGGACAATTGCTAACATCTTGTCAGCTTTGCTTCAAGTTCTTTTAAAGGAAAAATAATCACAGATAAAATGCCCTTTGTCTATCAGAATCACCAGAATCCTTTCCAACTGCTCACAAGATGCCTACTATTGTGTATTTACTATGTATCTACTGCATAACTAATGTGTATTGTGCAAACTGTTTGGAATGTTAGTTTAAGAGAAGTGTTTCTTTGGTATATCCCAAACTCCAGTTCTTTGTCCTCATGACCAAAGTAAAATACTTAAAAGAATCATTTAGTACAATGATTGCTTCACTTTATATCAAAATATAAAAATTTTATATGAAAACTTCCATTATTTCAGTCCTAAGTAAGGTTTATTCTTGTCATCCAAGACTCAAGAGAGAAAGTGAGTTGAGGTTGAGTAAAAGGAAATAATAGAGGAGAGGAAGCAAGTGCTCACGTGTAGAACACATAAAACAAATTTTAAAAAATGTCCATTTCCTCTTTTCTCCATCTCTTTCCATATATTCTTGTTGAATTAAATTGAAATTCCTTTCTCTGCAATTATAGTATTTTTTCCATTCTCTCCATGCCCCCCACCCCTAGAAGCCTGTGTCCTAAAACCTAATTCAAACCAAATCTTTCATAGCTACCCCAGCTCATCCTTGACCCCTATAAGTCTGCTCACTGCCAGGTCACTGACTCAAACCATTGCTATCTGTGGCCTTTTACTTCTGTCTGATTATTTTTCCCATACCCCAAACACCCTCAAACACTCACAACCACACGAATATCCTTTTCTCTCTCATCTCCTTTCATCAGCTCAAAGGATTTCCAAGCTCTTCTACTAATGTCAGAGTAGTATGGAAGGAAGTGAGGACTAAAGCATAAGCTTCTGCCAAAAGCAGAAGAAAAGAGGCCTGTCAAGCAAGAAAAGGAGTGTTTATAGAGAAAGGAGTGACTGGGAGAGTATTTACAGAACTAATGTTCTCTAAATCTGGTGTATACACCAGTCACACCCTTTCTTTGAAATGTCCAAAGAATAAAATACTTCTACCTTTTATATAAGGAATCCGTGGTGATTAGCAGAATGGCGATCTCTCCATCATCTGGAATAAATCTACAACTATTGCAAATAATAACCAGCATGCTTTCCAGCTTGAACAATGGGTGTCTATGTTGATCTTGGAGGGAAAGCACTGGGCTACCTAGAGTTGTCAGTGTTTTGGTTTTGTTCATTGCTTTGCCTAATCTTGTTTTATTTGCCTTTCTTCTATCTGTGATTATTTCAGGAAAGAGGCTTTCACTGAAGCCCGGGGTGCACGAAGCGGGGTTAAAAAAGTCATGGTTATTGTGACTGATGGAGAGTCCCATGACAATCACCAACTGAATAAGGTCATCCAAGACTGTGAAGATGAAAACATTCAGCGTTTTTCCATAGCTGTGAGTAAATTGCTAGTGGTAGTTTTCGAACTCAAGAGTGAGAAGGGCTGTATACATATCGTGGTAATTTTATGAAAGTTACACAAGTGAGGTTGTAAAGGAGAAACTTCTCCATTTGCAGGTAAGCTTTGTGAGGGCTGGATTGGGGAAGAAAGAATGGAAGGAAAGAGGAACGAAAGGGAAGAAGAAAGGGAGGAGAGAGAAAGGGAAGGAGTGAGGGAAAAAGGGAGGAAGGAAGGAGCAAAGGAAGGAACGGAGCAATGAAGGAAGGAAACCGAAAAGACGTATTAGGTAATGAATACATTGCTTGTTAAATAGTACTTCTCCCTGAAATTTGGCAGGGTGGAAAATCGGGACATGAATTTTATTATAATAATCTATGAGAAGTCAGCAATGATATTTCTACACCCGATTTTTTAAGTTGTAAGAAAGAAGTAAAGGATCACCTAGTCATTTGTCTATGCTGCGCGCGTCTCTGTAGTAAGGAGCCCTGGTGGCACAGTGGTTAAGCGCTTGACTGGTAACAGAAAGGTTGGTGGTTAGAACCCACCAGCCACTCCGAGGGAGAAAGATGTGGCAGTCTGCTTCCATAAAGATTACATACAGCCTTGGAAACCCTACGAGGCAGTTCTGCTCTGTCCTATAGGGTCACTATGAGTCGGACTCCACTTGATAGCAACGGGATGGTTTTTTGGTTTTTATGCACATGCCACTTCATGGTATTACCAGTGAACTGAGGAGGAATCAGGAGATAATTATCATTGCTCAAGTACTTTGTCAAGAGCCGTTTCCTCTACACTTCGCATCCCAAACTGCAATCAAAACAATGCGGCCAGCAGCTATAAAATATGTTTCCTGTGATTGCATTTAACCCGGATAAGAGGGGAGAAACTGGAATCAGAACAGGAGAAATTTTCCTCTGGTTCCTGCTCTTGATAATGTAGAAATATCACATATAAAGTACTTTATGCCCTTTGTGAGAAAACCTGTGTAAATACAAAGCAATCCATTATTAATAACATTTATATTCCAATATGCAAAAAAAAAAAAAAAACAGAGTCGGAATTGACTCAGTGGCAATGGGTTTGGTGGTTTTTTGGTTTTTTTGTTTGTTTGTTTGTTTGTGTCTGAATATTTAAGAGATCTTATTAGTGACTTAAAAAAAATCAACTTCTGATAGCAATGACCCAGTTTTCATGTTGTCATCCCATGGAGGGAGCATTCAGAAAAAGAGACACAAAATTCTACTATTCAAACATAAAAAATAATTTTAATTACAACTAACGTAGCACTCTGTAACATAATGATTTTTTATATCTGTGTTCTGCTTACCTTTCTTTGTTCCTTCTGTCACCTCAGAGAGAGTAGGGTAGCTTTTATTTTCTCCATTAATAAGAGGAAACTGAGGCACAGAGAGGTCACATAGCAGTAGTCCATGTTAATAGTAGTCCAGAGTCTGGAGTCGAGTTAGAAAAATTTATGAAAGATTTTAGTTGAGAGTAAACCAAATTGCTGCAGCAAGGAACCCTGGCACTCAAGAGAAAATACCAAAGACTGATTTGAGAAAGATAGTGGCCTCCGTTTATAAGAAGCTATGAAAAAGTTAGAAAAAAGGAATAGGTTCTGAAAAGTTGTCATTTAAGTAAAGCAGGTCAAAATGGTGATTGGACAATGTGTCCTTTCATTCGTAATAAGTGCAAGGGTGCTTGACTTTACTATGATGATGTCTCAAGACAATGTGGGTTTGGATAATACCAGTTAAGTAAGGTTATAGGTGGAAGCATCTGAGCTGATCTAAACTGATTATGGTCATTTCTGGTTGACAGCCAAGTGGGCAAGTCTCTGGACTCCACACCTTAGCTCAGCGTGTCAGCTGCTACCCTGGGCTGCCCTTTCCTGGGTCCCATTTTCTCTCTCTTGCTGCCACAGCTCTGCTCTTGGTGGTGCTGCAGGGTTGTCCTCACTTGTTTCCACTCACTTCCGCAGGCTCCCAAAGAGTACCACAGTTCTCCCGGTCTCACCCCTGTCTTTCAGAGCAGAGAGGCACCAGCACCAAGACACTAAGCACATACCATTATGTGTAATAGTCTCAAAGCACAATGACTCAGGGACACTTTCTAGAAGTGAGAAGAACTAGGATAGGAGTAAGCAGGTGGAGGACACTACGTTTTTGAGCCAGAAAGACTTCTGTTTAAATTCTGCCTTTGCCATGTACTGAGTCTGTGACAATGGAAGAGTTATTTAATTCTCTGAGCTTTAGCACCTTCATCTGTAAAATAAGGTAGTGTTATTTCTCAGTCTCTCTCTCTCTGATAAAGAATCAATGAGATAATGAAAACACCCAGCACAGTGGCAGGCTAGACACTCAATAAATATTATTTTTCTTCAAGGATCCTTAACTCAAGCATTTTGCCATCATGAAATAATAAAATCATAGTGTTTTAGAGCTAGAATGCATGTTAGAGACCAACTGTCATCCTTTTGCACAGAAAACTTCAGAGATCCCCTCCTTAGTCTATAAAGTCTAATCTCAGTTTCTGAACCCCAGCTGTGTCCAGCCCTCCTTTCTAACGCTTTTACTCTCGATTCCATAGTATGTACCTTTAGCCTAGGTGGAGGGGAGTTTTCTCTGTCCTCCTAAATTAATTGATTTTTTTTAAAAATAAGTTAGGGAACAAAAAATTCAGAATTCCAAGATTTCAGCCACGAATGTTTCAATAAAATCTCTTCATTTATGGTAAGTAATAATCAGATATTATCCACAATGGTTTCTCAACCTTTAATCAGTGAGATTTCCTTTTTTCCTTTCAAAAGTATGAAAGTGAAAACAGTGAAAGACACTTTACCCCATCATAGAAGGGGAAGAAAATGAGAGATTTATCCATGATTAAGCCCTGAAACACCATTGATTCAATGCTTCCCAGGGGCAAGGTAATTGGACTCCTAATTTTATAACCAATATGACTTGGTTATAACAATGATGACTTCTGACTGCAATATTTTCTTTTTCATTTGGGGTGCAAGATGTAAAGAAATTTCAAACCATCTCATTAGTTCTCTCCTTCCTCTTGTTACTTCTATAAATTATCTTTTGCCAATTATTTTCCAAAACATATATTGTATTACCTCTCCTGTTACTACGATGTAACTATATTGATCACTCCCATGGTTGAGAATAATACAATATGGACCAGCTTTCACTCAGAGATGCTGTCCAAATGGTAGTGACAAAATTAGAGTCCATGGCTGGTATCTTCCACATGCAAGCCAGCGCATAACCAGTTTGTCCCAGACAACTGGATATCAGATGTTCTATGATTTGTTCCATTCCCCACCAGAGATGTAGTCTGGTATCCCAGGTACCATAGATGCAAGTTGTGAACCATATTAGTCATTGGTAAAATTAACAGGATTAGGAAAACCTCACTGGAAAGAAAGTATCTACTAGTGGCTTCTTAATTTTGAATGAATTCTATGTTTTACATTATATTTGGCCACATAGTATTTACTGCACTTCCATCATTATTTCTGTCTTTGTTGGGTCCCTACTTGATAATCCATACTTTACCTCCCATCTGGTCAAAAAGAGGTCTTGTTACTGCATTGATCTTCATGAAGAATCATAAAACCATGAGTTCCTTTCCTGGTTTAGCAATGACATATCAAATTCCTCTTTGAAGTGGTGTTAATAAAAACGTATAGAGAAATTTCACTTAGGAACAATTATTTGCTGTTTTTCCCAATTCATATTTCTTTTACCTAATGAACCATATATTTTATTTTGTGAATAAGGTAGTTATTTTATATAGCTTCCTCTCTTTGCTATTTAACAAGAAAGGTTGGATTTAGGCATTTCTGGAGGTCCATTCATGCTGAACATGATCAAATACCCAATGGTCCAATGATTGCCTGGACTGTTCCTTTTATTCCTTCTTTTTTACCCACCATTTGGTCCTGAATATCATGGAGATGTGTTTGGTGGGGAGTAAATATAGCACACAAGAGTGACTATTGACATATAAGCACCTCGTGAAAGACTACAAATATTTCCGTGTTAACTTTCAGATTTTTGAGGGTCCTGAGCTGGTTTTGAGGTCTCCATGGCCCCTCTGTTTCCATCACTTGAGGGTATTAGACATGGTTAGCAGGGGATGTTTTACATTCAGATTCTAATCTTAGATTATGAATGTTGAGTCTAATCTCTGATCATAATGGCTGCGAAGTGCGTGACACTACAGCACTCAAATGAAAATCAGAGAAGTACGAAAGTATCTTAGAATTTCATTTATTTACACACAAAAAAGGCACTGACCCACATGTAAATGAATTGAAGACTTTACACTTGACACATTTGTCTCAAAAAAAAAAAAAAAACAATTGCTGTTGAATCGATTCCAACTCAGAGTGATCCTATAGACCCTATAGGACAGAGCAGAACTGCCCCCACAGGGTTTCCAAGGAGTGCCTGGTGAATTTGACTTGCCGACCTTTTGGTTAGCAGCCGAACTCTTAACCTACACCACCAGGGTTTCCACATTTGTCTCAAGGGACCTTCAATTCTGAATATCTATCTCAGGTAAATATTAACAAAATATCCAATGTCTAGGCTTGGCATACTTGTATTGAGTAAGACAGGAGCAATTTATAAGTCCTACTGTGTATTTCTTCTCATTCATAGGAAACAATGTTTTTACAAGCTACCGAATCCTTGAATGAAGGATCAAAATACGTTTCTATTTTCATTTTCATTCTATGACACAACATATTTAAAAACTACATGGGTCACAGTAATTACTAGATTTCTTTTCTTTTGTATTTTCCTGTATGCGCAGAGGTACCTCAGAAAAAAGACCTGGTGATCTACTTCCAAAAGATCATTAAAAAGAAAAAAAAAAAAAACCCATTGCCATCGAGTTGTTTCTGACTCATAGTAACCCCTAGACCCTATAGTGACCCTAGCCATTGAAAACCCTATAGGGTGCAGTTCTACTTTGAAACACATGGGGCCACCATGAGTTAGAATTGACTCGACAGCAACTGGTTTGGTTTATAGCTACATAGGTTGCACAGGTGGTTTCTGCTTGGCTGCTAACCTAGAGGTTGGCAATTCGAACCCCCCCAGCACTACAGCAGAAGAAAAAGGCCTGGTGATGTGCTTCTGTAAAAATTACAGCCAAGAAAACTTTATGAAGCAGTTCTCATCTGTCGTGCATGCAATTACCGTGAGTCAGAATCAACTCAATGGCACATAACAACTCCCATTTTTTATTTACACATTTTATTTTTTATTACTTAAATAAGTCACTTGGACATTTCCCCTATTGAACTTTATATATTTGTCTCTGTCCTGTTACACATCCCACTGAATGTCTGAAAATACTCACATCATAACTAAGAATCATGGATGGTCCAAAGTCTTTACAGTTTTTTCTTACGTGGATTTTCAACTGTATCAATTCATAAATGAAATGGAAATTAATGTGTCAACCTGATAGTGAATCTAGAATATATTAACTGGGAACCAGGAGGAAGGATGGTTATTTTTCAGCCCAAGGTGTCATCTTATCTATAGAATAAATTAAGAAAATCAGTAGGAACTCAAAGGCTTCACTTGAATGCAGAGTTGGTGGTAATCTAAAAGAAATTCATAGGTATCAAAGCTGCTGCCAAAAAGGAGCCCAACTGTGTTCAGAGAAGAAGCCTGCATGGAGAGTGAAGGGCTGAGGAAGCCCCTGATGCTTGGAATCCCACTGTCCTGCTTTTTTCATGTTTACTCGACATACACATTCCAGATGTGGTGAGATACCCCAGTGTAAGAGGGGCATCTTAGTAATTATGTTTAAATATGACAGAATATGTGTTAAATGTAATGAGAACAAGTGGCCCTTGGGTTTCCCCTCCCTCTCTGCACAATCCTCTTCTGTCGTTTTCATTCATTCTTTTCCCCCCATCAGTTAGCTAAAATGGGAAAAGTGATGGTGGCCTCTGTTCAAATGTCAATAGTATCTGATATTTGGCATTTGCTTTTCAGCAAAGTAGTCAGGAATTGAATTTTTGTGTTCTGCCGGGATTTTTAAAGTCCTCAAATAGACCTTCCTAAGGAACCCTGGTGGTGCAGTGGTTAAAGCAGTTGGCTGCTAACCAAAAGGTTGGTGGTTCGAACCCACCAGCAATTCCACAGAAGAAAGATGTGGCAGTCTGCTTTCGTAGAGACTGACAGCCTTCGAAACCCTGTAGGGTCGCTATGAGTCAGAATCAACTTGACAGCAGTGGGTTTGGTTTGGCTTTTGGATAGACCTTCCTACCTAAAATCTGGACATCCTACTAGAGAATAAGTTCAAAAATGAAAAAGCTTCCCAAATAGCATGCCCATGACCTTAGAGACAGCTCTATAGGCCTTATGCATCTTGATTGTGGTGGTAGCTGCGTGATTACATAAGTCTGTCCAAATTCAAGAAAATGTGCATTTAAAAAGGATGAATTTTGCTGTATATAAATGGTAGCTCAAAAAATATATTAAAAAAAAAATGTTTAAGAAGCCTGTTTGGATATCTAAATAATTACAGTTAACTGTAACAGATAGTTCCTCCCTTTCTTTTCTATAAAAAAGAGTGTTTTCAAACAGGAATGTCTCAATTGTTTATTTTCTGTATTGTCCATTAGGTTACTACTTAGTCCAATATCTGTTTAAAAAATGTAGGACTTGGGCTGTCCGTTGGTAAGATTTTCTGGAAGATTTTCCCATTAAAGATTAAGTAGCTCACTTTCTAACTGCTTCTGCTAGCAAATGGTGATGTCATTGGCTGGAATGTCGGAGACATTCAGAAACTATGTTGTTACTTTTGAACTGTCAGATTTTACAGATACAACTGTTAATAAACAATGATACAGGGATGCAAGAGAAGAAATTTTTGCACACAAACAAAATTGCCCTTTTTTATTTTCCTACACCAGTTGCAGCGTTTATGCAACAGTTAATAGTAGGGAGTCTATGTATTCTCAATGCTGCCCTTCCAAGATTGTGGGAGTACATAAAAATTGCATTATGCTAAGATACTATGTACACTCTCTTATATGACTGAGATCCTTATTTAACATCTAGAATTTAAAATATATCCTTGCCATTTTTACTATGTCCTAGATTCTTGGAAGCTATAACAGAGGAAACTTAAGCACTGAGAAATTTGTGGAGGAAATAAGATCAATTGCAAGTGAGCCCACTGAAAAGCATTTCTTCAACGTGTCTGATGAATTGGCTCTAGTCACTATTGTTGAAGCTCTGGGAGAAAGAATATTTGCCCTGGAAGGTATGACTATTTCTCTTAATCTTGTGTGTTCTCTCTACAATTCAAACTCAGTGTTATGAGCTTTCAGTATTTATTCTGATCACATCGCTTACGTGTTTTTACCCTGAGCCATAGATAGCATGGAACAATGGCCTTTTATACAAATCTGTCATTGGAAGCTCTGCTTGTAAGGGCACAGCAGTGCTGATGTGCGAGCTGACAACGGTCAATGTAGACACACAAGAACAAAAAATGTTCCCACGTGTTTTATTCCTTGTCTGTAAAACTGAGGTTTAGAAAATGAAGATACTAGCTCTAGGGCTCAAGTTTTGTTTCTTTCTTTCTTGGCTGCTATGAGAGTATATAGCCAGAATGTTCCTTAAAAGCAAGGATGGCGAGACTTTGTCTCACCTACTTTGGACATGTTATCAGGAGGGATCAGTCCCTGCAGAAGGACATCATGCTTGGTAAAGGAGAGGGTCAGCAAAAAAAAGGAAGACTCTGAACAAGATGGATTGGACACAGTGGCTGCAACAATGGGCAGAGCATAATGACAATTGTGAGGATGGCGCAGGACTGGGCACTGTTTCATTCTGTTGTACATAGTGTGTACATAGTGTGGCTATGAGTCGGAACTGACTCGACAGCACCTAACAGCAATGTCAATGAGAGTACACTTATGAAATAGCCTCTTGGTCCATTTATTTTCTCCATATTTTGCTCCTTACCAACTTTAAAGGTCTTCCTGGAACTCTGCCTGAAGTCCCATGGCAGTGAAATATCAGTTCACTGTAGTTTTCAAAATCATGCTACTTCTTTGTAGATTTTTTTCTTTGCTTTTTCAGTGACAACTGGCTGTTCACGATAATGAAACATGGTGTCCTTCCTTTTCCTTAGGTAGGGCTGTCAAGTAACAAATGACTTTGGAACTAGACCTTTCCTGACAAAAACTCTTTGGAGCAGTTATGTCAGGCAGACTGGCAAAGCCTCTTCACATTCTTCGAGATCTGGACTCTCACAGAACATGTCCCTTTTCTCATCCTGTAAGGAGAAACAACCAGAGAGATCTCCTGCCCTTGTGCTCCATCTGAATCCAATTCACACTTTGTCCTTGTGTGGATGTGCTGCAGAGCTGTGGTTTTTCCATCTTAGAAACAGAAATTTAATAGCTCCTTGTCAGCCTCCCTGATCTGACCTAATAGTAGGAAACAGACATAGCTGAAAAAAAGAGGGATCCTTTTGATTGATTTGCTGGGAAAATACAGAAAAGTGTCTAACAGACACAGAATATTAAAATATATAGTAAAGTATAAAAATGACAGAAAATAATTTAGAATAATGGCTTTCAAGCTTATTTGACTGTGATCCACAATAATAAACACATTTTGTTTTGTGACCCAGTGCACAAATAGTTACATCAGACAGTTATACACAATACACTCTCATTTCTAAATCTTAAGTGGGTGAGTAGATATAGCCAAAGACGGGAAGAAATGAAGCCCACATCAGCTGTTGGAGGAGAGTATCAATTTGCCTTAAATAACATTTTTACATTGTTTCTAGCCTAACCACACTATACCTTAAAGGTTATACACTGAAGTGTCCAAACACTCCAAGAAGTCTCTACATTTAAAAATACTTAAATAAAAATTATTAGTAATTCCATTGTCTCCCATGTCTTTGTTGCTGCATTTTCAGGGTTAACCAAGAAAAATGTATTGATTAGATTATTTCTGGGTTTTTTTTTCCCTAATCAGATCAGAAAATGCTTCATTTTCTCATTACTTTAAAAATCTCTATTTCCTAATAGTATATTTCTTTAGATGGTAAAAACCAGTCGCCATGGAGTCAGTTCCAACTCATGGAGAGCCCATACGTGTCAGGGTAGAACTGTGCTCCATAGGATTTTCAATGGCTGATTTTTAGAAGTAGATCATCAGGCCTTTCTTCTGAGGCACCTCTGGGTGGACACAAACCACCCATCTGTCAGTTAGCTGCTGAGAAACCAAGATTAAAGCCAAGAAAACCCTGTGGAGTTTAGTTCTACTCTGTAACACACGGGGTCTCTCCATGAGTCAGAACCGACTAGACAGCCATGGGTTTGTTTTTGATAGCCGTGCTTACCAAGGACCGTGCCGACTAGTGAGATAAATATGCCAGTAACTTACCTAATAAAACTGGAAAATAGTCTAATGTCTCACTTGCCCACCAAGCGTTGGAAATAATGCTGGAATTCCTGACCAGAGGCTGCACAGGGGTGACGGCCATTGTCTCAACAGCCATGAACAGTCCAGGGTGGAGCTGACAGCAAGAAGCTCGGGGACACACAACAGGCTGTTGCCATGGTGCTGACTCAGCAGGCAGAATATCAGAATATCACACAGGTTCCTCCTCTCTGTTCTTAGCTGAAGGGAGAACAGCAGCAAGGGAATGTGCTGGAAACACATAGCTCCCTGTCTGAGTAGAAGAGGTGATTTTTGTAGATTTTGGATGGCTGCTGCTGTTGCATTCTTATTACTGGCCTTGAAAAGATACATGAGAAAGTACCTTAAAGCATTGTGGACTAATAAATGCTCAAATTAAAGTGCATCTTGGTCATTTAAGTTAAAGGGCAATTCATATCTGTGATTAAAAGGATACATTTGAATTCTTGATTGATTGTTCCATTTAATCTAATTCTATAAAAAGGCAATTACTGATGTATTCATCAACAAATTTGTGCCAGTAAATAACCAGTAAATAGTCTAATTTCACAAAAAAATAAAACCATTGCCATTGAGTTGATTCTGACTCATGGCAACCTTATGTGTTACAGAGTAGAACTGAGTTCCATAGGGTTTTCTTGGCTGTAATCTTTATGGAAACAGATCGCCAGGCCTTTCTTCTGCAACATCTCTGGCTGGGTTCGAACTGCCAACCTTTTGATTAGTAAATTAATGCAAACCATATGTGCCACCCAGGAACCTAATAAACAGTATAATTTCACAAATTTGATTATTCCCATGCCTCAGTGAAAAGGCAGACTAACTTTCTTAAAATTATGAACTATTTTTAACTTATCTGCAAGGCCAAGTAAATCAGTAATATCCTACTGGAATCAAATAAAGCATCATTCCTTCAATCCCCTAATGGTTTGTGGCTTTGGATTCATGAATATTTTGAAAATAATTCTGGAGTAGCATACTTTCATAGAATGCTTTGGATTATCTCTAAATCTCAGTAAAGAGTTTTAAAATGGGTGCAAAAATATTTTTTTCAAAAAAATATGTGATTGAATGGCACGTGCCCTAGACCCCTGTCAAAAAGTCCCCTCTGATCTGTGAGTAATACCCACCTCCAGCAATTACAGCAAATACAACCCAAGTCTCTAAACCCTTTATCAGACAATGGAATCCCAAGAGAATTCCAGGCCTGAAATATGGGTGGGGTTGGGGGAGACAAAAGACCTCTTTTAATTTGTGGATGAAATTTTTTCAGCCTTACATCAAGTAAATTTAGCCTAAGGTCTCAGCAGGGTTGCCAGAGTGTGGGAATAAGACAGAGGTTTCCTATTACATTTCAATTATAACCACATGGATCCAAAGCACCATAGAATCAACAAGCACGCAGCACTGTAAGAACAACGTGAATGGAGATTTCTCAACTCCTCCTGCAAGAACAGGGAAGACTCTGACACAGGTGAAGGCAGATGTACAAGCCCTTCCACTAGCATTCTCTGACTTCTACCCAGGCCTACAGAGGGATTTTGGATTGAGAAATGTGGGCCCTAAAGATGTTAGAGGATCTGATGGATAAAGACTATGCACTATACCAAGTTTCTGTCTGCTGGAAGTCAGCAGTGTGATAGGAAGCATTGCATGTCGCTTATGATGATGATTTTCCTATTTTATAGCTACAGCTGATCAATCAGCAGCTTCATTCGAAATGGAAATGTCTCAGATGGGCTTCAGTGCTCATTATTCACAGGTACGTTGATCACTTGATAGAAAATGAAATGACTTTTGGCTATATTTTCTCCCCCCAAACTAACAACCAGGTGTTAGCATTACAAGTGCAACTTGCAGTTCATGGCTTGAGCAGTTATTCAGCCCATGATGATGTTTCCTAATCCAAATACTGTAGGAAAATGGCATTTCAAAATCTTCCTGTTAGGAAAATATGTTATCTCACACAACTCACTCATTGTACTAATAATTATGAACTAGACAGTTTGAGTGCTTCATTATGTAGTTATACATCTGGCTGAATGAAATATTTAAAATATTTGCTAAAGGTATGAAATTTATCATTTTCTTAGTGACAAGATATTCGAGGATCATGCTAAAATCCATGTTCTGGGTAGATAGAACCCAGGATTCCTGGCATCTAGAATAAAGCCGAAAGACAAGATTAGAAAATTTATCATTTGTTGTTGATGGGGCAGCTGGGTGGCACAAATGGTTAATTGCTCTACTACTAGCCAAAAAGTTAGCAGTTTGAACCCATCCAGAGGTACCTCAGAAGAGAGGTCTGGTGATCTGCTTCTGAAAGGTAGCAGCCTATAGAGTGGCTCTACTCTACACACACGGGGTTGCTGTGAGGTGGAATTGACTCCATGCCAACTAACAACCACAGTAAGAAGTAGTTAATGGAAGAAAAGGCATCAGGGTCCCTTCAAAGGAATACTGACATTTCATTGTATAATTGTACTAGTAGATGTATAACCTACAGCATTTCTCTTTTGTAAAATGAAGGTGAGAGTAATGGAATCTAGCCCATAGGGTTATTGTGAGGATTATATGCGTTAATACACAGAAAGCACTTTGAACAGTACCTAATACATAGTTAATGACATAACAGTGTTTGCTCTTACTGTTTTTATTAAATATGATTGTTTTCTCTATTTGAATATAAGGATTGGGTTATGCTTGGAGCAGTAGGAGCCTATGATTGGAATGGGACAGTCGTCATGCAGAAGGCTGATCAAATCATCATCCCCCAAAATACAACCTTTAATGTCGAGTCTAGCAAAAAGAATGAACCTCTTGCTTCTTACTTAGGTAAGGTTTGGCTGTGATTGACAGAAGGTTGCTATGGGTTTCCTTTTGTTGTTGTTGTAATCTTTAGCATTATTTGCTTTATCTATATAGGCTTACAACCATGTGGAAGGATACTGATAAAGGTAAATTCTAAGAGCTGGATATTTGACAGGACCCATGTAAGTTTTCAGGCCTCTAAGCAGTCTTAATTGGTCAAGATTACAGAACATGACAGTCATTCTTTCTCAGAGGAGCTATTTAGAGTAGCGAATGATTTCAGCTGGTATGTGCACTTTCTGAGCTCTCCCTGTGTCTCGTATTCCTTTTGATTCTGAGGAAAGCATTGAACCTGGTGGACAGGAAATGAGGGTAGAAAAAGAAAGCTTGATTCTGCCTGTAATCCTGAAGACCAAGTACCTAAACTCTCTTAATAATCAATCATCTGCATAGTTTGTTTCTCTGAGTCCTAGGTTTGGAAAAGAAACGTTTAAGTTGTTTTTGTCATATAGCTTCAGATTTAATCACTCTATTCACAATCAGACAAATACTAAACTTAAACCCAGTGATATAACATCATCTTATTTCCTAAGGACTTGCTTAGCATGAGGAGTCTGGATCTGTACCAGGCTGAGAGCTGCCTAAGGAATGCCTAAGGAATCTTACCAGAACAAGATCTCAGTAAACAGTCAAGGTGGGGGTGAGGGGGCTTAAGACAGAAAAGACCCTCAGATCTTTTCCCAACTCTTTACTCACTCAACACATATTTTTGGGATGCCTCCTTTCCCCAGGCATTGTTCTTAGTGCCACAGATGCAATATTGAGCCTACAGACAAATGCTATGGCTGTGTGGTGTTCACATTTTAGCACTCTGACCTTCCTCTCTGGGATCTTTCTGTCCTAGAGGCAAGTGTTTTTATCCCTCTATCCCAGTTTCTTTCTGTTTGAGAGGAAGGTGGTAAGATTCTGTCTTGTGAAGAATGGTAAGATCTTTACTGCTACCTCTATATATCTCCTACCTCCATATATCTCCCAATTCAGGGGCCCATATTAAAGCTGTAAAGTCTGCAAGACTTAAGAATAAAAGCCTGAGAGTTTTAGATGACTAAAAATATAACGGCAACCAGCAGATATAATGTGATTGTTAAAATCCCTTAAGACACAGCTAATAGACACATGAGGAAATGCTCACAATCATTAGCCATTGTTGTTGTTATTAAGTGCCCTCGAGTCAGTTCCAACTCATAATGACCCTATAGGATAGAGTAGAACTGTCCCATAGGGATTCCATGGAGCAGCTGTTGGATTCGAACTGCTGACCTTTTGGTTAGCAGCCGAGCTCTTAACCACTGCACCACCAGGGCTCCAAATGCAAATCAAAACTACAATAAGACACCATCTCGCCCCAACATTACTAGCACTAATCAAAAAATAGAAAATAACAAATGTTGGAGAGGTTGTAGGGAGATTGGAACTCTTATGGTGGGAATGGAAAATGGTACAACCACTATGGAAACTGATAAGGTGCCTCCTTAAAAAGCTAGAAATAAAAATACCATATGATCTAGCAATCCCACTCCTAGGAATACATCCTAGAGAAATAAGAGCCATCACATGAACAGACATATGCACACCCATGTTCATTGCAGCATTATTCACAATAACAAAAAGATGTAAACAACCTAAGTGCTGGTCATAGGATGCATGGATAAACAAATTGTGGTAAATACAAACAATGTGGAATACTACGAAACAATAAAGAACAGTGATGAATCTGTGAAACGTCTCACAACATGGATGAATCTGGAGGGCATTATGCTGAGTGAAATAAGAAAATCACAAAAGGACAAATACTGTATGAAACCACTATTATAAAAACCCAAGAAAAGGTTTATATACAGAAAAAAACAATGTTTGATGGTTACAAAGGAGGGAAGTGGTGGGGAGGAAAAATCACTAACTAGATAGTAGATAAGTGTTAACTTTGGTGACGGGAAAGACAACACACAATATAGGAAAGTCAGCACGACTTGACCAAGGCAAAGTCATAGAAGCTTTCTAGACACATCCAAACACCTTGAAGGACTGAGTTACTGGGGCTGAGGGCTGGGGACCATGGTCTCAGGGGACATCTAGGTTAATCGGTATAACATAGTTCGTAAAGAAAATGTTCTACATCCTACTTTGGTGAGTAGTGTCTGGGGTCTTAAAAGCTTGTGAGCAGCCATTTAAGATACATCTATTGGTCCCAACCCATCCAAAGCAAAGGAGAAAGAAGAAAATGAAGACACAAGGAAAATATTAGTCCAAAGGACTAATGGGCCACATGAACCACAGCCTTCACCAGCCTGAGCCCAGAAGAACTAGATGGTACCTGGCTAGTACCAAAACCACTCTGACAGGGATCACAATACAGGGTCCAGGACAGAGCAAAAGAAAAATGTAGAACAAAATTCAAATTCACAAAAAAAAGACCAGACTGACTAGTCTGACAGAGACTGGAGGAACCCCTGAGACTATGGTCCCCAGACACCCTGCTAACTCAGAACTGAAGTCACTCTTAAAGTCCACCTTTCAACCAAAGATTAGACAGGCCCATAAAAAAACTATAACATACTTGAGGAATGTGCTCTTAGTTCAGTCAAGTATACCAATCCAAATGGGCAACACCTGTCCAAAAGCAAAGATGAGAAGGCAGGAAGGGACAGGAAAACTGGACAAATGGACACAAGGAACCTGCAGTATAAATGGAAGAGGGGAGAGTGCTGACACATTGTGGGGATTGTGGCCAGTGTCACAAAACAATTTATGTATAAATTATGTATAAATTTTTGAAATTTATGTATAAATTTCTTCTGTAAATTTTCTCCTAAAGCACAATAAAATTAAAAACAAATAAATCCCTTAAGACACATTGAACTGCATGAGTGAAAGTTTAATCTCTTTCCTACAAAAGCTCTATCATATTCTGCCCTGGACAGACAATAGCTAGAGTATTCCATTGTTAGAAACATCACACATTACAAAAAGAAAATGACAAACAAGGATTTACCAGTAAAAGATAATATAGAGGATATAGATCTAGAAGGAATTTCCTGCTACACACCACTCTTCCCCAAAACTTTAAGAAATTGAAGGTTCAAAACAAAATATACATTGTGTGTCTTTTAAATATTTGGAGGACTGTGATGGTGACATAAAATAAAAGGATTGAGCTTAAAACTTATACAGAGTTTTAGCATTAAAAGATCTGAGACAGCATATAGCTAAACATCTAATTTTCCAAATTAAGAAACTGAGCAATAGACAATTATGTCACAGGGCAGGTCTGAAACTTCAATCTTGGTCTTTTGATTTGTATTCCAGTCTTCATTTCACCATTCCAAAATTGCTGATTCTGGGTTGATTCAGAAAGCACCACGCAGATACTGAGTACTTGCAATGTGCCAACCATTGAATTATAAATTGAAGATAAGATACACAAGGCAGATCAAACCCTGCACTGATGCAGACAGATAATCCAAGAAGCAATCAGTATAAAAAAACCAAACCCATTGCTGTCAAGTTGATTGCGACCCATGGTGACCGTACCGGACAGAGTAGAACTGCCCCACAGGGTTTCCAAGGAGCGGCTGATGGATTTGAACTGCCAACCTTTTGGTTAGCAGCTGTGCCATTTAACCACTTGTACCACCAGGGCTCCAAAAAGATGGTAAAAGGTTAGATCAGATAACTTCTAAAAGTTCTGTGAGAGTGCTTTATGTGAAATACCTTGGAATCAAGAACCAATTTAACCTGAGACTTCTTCATATCCCGGGTAGAAGGATCATAGAGCATTAACCCTCAAATATAACTAGTGGCATACAAATTAGTAGAACTCTTTCTGTAGGACTCTTTAGGAAATTCTTTTGACAATTTGTATGTAGAACCATGAAAGGTTCATACTACATTAACTTAGACATTCCACTTGTGAGGGTCTAACGGAAGAAAAAAATTTAAATATTTAAGAATGCCAAGTGAAGAAACATATCCATTGTATTGTTATTTCTGATAGTGTAGAAAATGATACGATCCTAGATGTTCAGCAATATGGGGATAGTTAGGTAAGTGGTAAATCTCCTTACTATAACATTACGACCCATAAAATATAAAAAGCATAAGGCTGCTGATCCTGTGATCCTAAAGACAAAGTAATTATGGCTCTGAGATGGCTCTGAGGTCACAGAGACTTGAATTTGTTTTCTGACTCTGACCTCCAGCTAGTCAATTTTTTTTTTTTTCTCTTTCAGAGCCTCAATTTGCTTATTTCTAAAATGGAAATAATTAACGTTACTGTGGGGTAAAGAATTATTTTATATAAAGAATTTGGTCTTTGCCCTTGGTTCCTGAAGGCTAACTACTAAAACATTGGAATTTCCCCAGTGACTGAAGTGTCTTTGATGAGGGCTCCAGATTACACCTGAGGGTTTATGCTAATGAGTTGCCTTTTGGGTGGGAGGTTGGCCACGCTAGAAAGACCACCTTGTGATTATCAGCTGACCTCTAGGCAGTGGGGCGTGATTCAATCAATCATGCCTACATAATAAGACCCCCATATGGGCTCTGAAAACAGAAGCTTCCTGGTTGGTGATAGAAATCCATGCACGTAGGAGGGTAGCATGTCCCTTTTTGGGAGATGGAAGCTCCATGTTGGGAACCCTTCCTGACCTCGTCCTATGTGTCTCCTCATTTGTATCATTGTTGCTATTATAAAACTATAATTGTAAGTGGAGGACTTTCCTGAGTTCTGTGAGTCATTCTAGCAAATTACCGAACCCAGGAGAGTAACGGGAGTCAGCAGGTCAGAAGTGAGGTTTCCCCTGAGTTCACTGCTGGTATCCTGACGGGGCAAAGGGAACCCCTGAATTTTATTTTTTATTTTTGGTAGCCAGCAGGTCAGAATCCTGAGGGGTAGTGGGAAACCTTCGAATTTGTAATCAGCAGGTCAGAAGTGAGAGTGTTGTGGGGAAAAGAAAAATAGTTTTTTGTTTTTTTTTCCCCAAATGGTCCCTTTAGATCTGACATGAGGCTCTGCAGAATGGTTCCTTGTGGCATTTACAAATTAAAAAGAGATTGAACGTGTTAGCCCAAAGTCTATGTAGATGGCAAGTTGTTAGACTATGAACAATCTTATGAAAGAGGCAGAGGTAGATGCTATATAAAAACAAAACAAAACAAACAAACAAAAAACTGAATACTAATCAGAATGATCAGAAAGAAGTTGGAGCTGAAGCTGTTGAACCACTGTCAGAATATAGTCATGCTCCTATCTTTCTAGAAACCAACAAACTGCCTATGACAATATGCACTTAGCAAGCAGTTTTGAGGGTGAGAATACAGTCCAGGTCCTATCCCTGCCTCCTGTACCCGCAATTTGCTGATTTCTAGTCATGCCAGACAGGTTCAAAGGAAAAGTTACGAGGCAAAGGCATAAAAACAAGACAGATCATACCTCTGTTTCCCATTACCTCACCAGATCCTAGCTCATTTTCCAAGAAGTGGATTACGTAGCTGACATTGATTTATCCTTTACAGATCCATGCATATGGCTGCCAGTTGTGCCATATCTTTAATTCTGTGCTTTTCTTATCCAGGGAACAATATTTAGCTTACATATTTATGATTATTTTTCTTTTCGTTAAGATTAGACTTTGTTTGTCCCACTATTTCTCTTCCTCTCTGTTGTGTTCAGGCACCAGAGCCCCTGTGAGTGACTACCTGATGGTTGTTCCTGTTCCTGTGATTATTTCAGCGAATATTTACAGTTAGCAAGTGCAAATTATCAATCCTAAATTACCTAAATAAGCACACAAATCCAAGTCTCAAACATAATTTTCCACTTATTTTTAAAGGGTTTTTCTTATCAATTTGCGTTCATAGCTCTGAAAATTACAAAAAAAAAAAAAATCAAATTGTACGGACACTCTCATCCCACTCCCTTTTCTGTACTTCTTAGTAGGGCAGCATGAAATAAAAAATAACTTTTGTTTTGCACATTCTTCCTTTCCATTTTATTTATATATAAACAGACCTTAAAATCTTTGTTTTTTAAGCAAGTTTGTGGTTAGTAATAACAAAAATATAATGCATTACATGTCTAAAAAAACAATTTTGCATTCTATTACGTATAATAATAAAAAAATCTTGATTAAAGAAAGATGAAGAAATAAAAATGTGAGAAAAATATTCACAAAGGAAAATATGCCTGAGGAATTGTGTTCCCTTAGCACTTGCAAAAGTAAACATATTTTAGCACAGAAAAACCTCTGTTCCTTTTTTAAATTTTTAAAGGTATAACTACTACCTTAGAGTAAAATCAGTACAATATTTTTCTTAATAGTAGGTGCTATGCTGTGACCTTTTAAAAAATAACCTTCTTTCTGTTTAGACAACTCCCAGTATTAGAACATCTCTTTCTTCTGTTGAGTTGAAACTTGCATGTGGGAATTTTTATCCATTGATTGGTCTTTGTTCTCTAGAGCAGAGAAACACAAAGAATAAATCTAATTCTTCACTTGGAGAACAATAAAAATATGTCTTAAAGATGCAATTTAAAATTTTATGAAAGGTCAGTTAAAAAGAGAAGTGATCAAATACATGAAAACATGTTCTAGCTCACTATTAATAAGCAAACACAAATTAAAATCACAGTGGGGTGCTATTGTTAGACTATGTTTAACACCTATTAAAATATCCACAAATTTAAATAACATTAAAGACACCCAGTGTTTGGGAGCGTTTCATGAAACTAGTACTCTTTTATGCAGCTGTTGATAGAATAAATTGGTATAAATATTCTGGAAGCAATTTGCCAGACACTATAAGAACCATTAAAAATTTGATCCAGTTATCTATTCCTTGAAATTTATTTTCAAAAAAGTCCAAAGAAGGGAAAAATTAAATGTTTAAAGATGTCATTGCAGGCTTAAGTATATTACCAAAAACTTTAAAACCACCTAAATGCATCCATCAGGAAATGGTCATGTAGAATAAAAGTAACGCCTGGTGCCTTAATTCAGAGAAATAATCTTCAGCCATTAAAACTGAAATTAAAAAGGCTAGGTAGCAACCCAGAAAAGGCTTACATTTGCTATGATTCTGACTATATAAAATTATTCATTTCTATAGTAAATATACACACATCTGAAATGAAATATAATTGATATATTACAAAATGGTAAATTTGGATTATAAGAGATTTGGTTGTGTGTGGGGGGGTGAGTGGGTGGGTGTGTGGGTGGATGTGTGTGTTTCAGTCATCATTGTTATAAAATTGTGCCTTTAGACAATGAAAAACTGAGGTTGGAAGAAATGTACATTTTCAGTTCAAAGCAGTTGAAGTAGATAATCAACACACTAAAAGCTTCTACCAAAACAAACTCCTGTGTGCATTTAAAAAACAAATCCTTTATTTAAAGAGAAAAAGTCTATATAAAAATGGTTCTTCCAACCATTTAAAATTAATCTTAGTTTATTATGTACAGAATTTATGGAGCCGAATAGCATATCTGGAATCTCTGTTTTGTTAGGTTACACCGTAAACTCTGCTACTGTTTCTGGAGATGTCCTCTATATCACTGGACAACCAAGGTACAATCACACAGGCCAGGTCATTGTCTACAGGATGGAAAATGGGGATATCCAGATTCTCCAGACACTCAGTGGAGAACAGGTAAGATTAAAAATTATTATTTTACAATAATTCATTACATTCAATATTTACTGTGAGTAGGGCCCTGTGTTCGGCTCCCTAGAGGGATATAAAGGGTCTTCATCTTTGGCCTCAGAACATTTTAGTTGAATGGAGATGGAGGTAAGATATTTATATAATAGATATAGACACAGATGTAAAAATAAATACAAGAAAGGAGATCTAAAATATTGTAGTAGTTGTTGTTAGGTGCTGTCGAGTCGGTTCTGACTCATAGTGACCCTATGTACAACAGACGGAAACACTGCCCACTCCTACACTATCCTCACTATCCTTGTTGTGTTTGAGCCTGTTGTTATATCCCTCTCATGGTAGCTGCCTTCTAAATTTCTTAACATAGACAAGTGAGCACTTCCAGCTTTGCATCCGTTTGTTGAAATATCTCAACTGGTATTCCACCAGTTCCTAGGGCCTTGTTTTTCACCAATTCCTTCAGTGCAACTTGGATGTCTTCCTTCAGTACCATTGGTTCTTGATCATATGCTACCTCCTGAAATGGTTAAATGTCCACCAATTCTTTTTGGTACAGTGACTTTGTGTATTCCTTCCAACTTCTTTTGATGCTTCCTGGGTTGTTCAATATTTTGCCCATAGAATCCTTTGGTATTGCAACTCGAGACTTGAATTTTTTCTTCAGTTCTTTCAGCTTGAGAAGTGCCGAGTATGTTCTTCCCATTTGGTTTTCTAGCTCCAGGTCTTTGCACATCTCATTGTAATACTTTGTCTTCTTGAGCCACCCTTTGAAATCTTCTGTTCAACTCTTCTCCTTCATCATTTCTTCCTTTTGCCTTAGCTACTCTATGTTCAAGAGCAAGTTTCAGAGTCTCTTTTGACATCGGTTTGCTCTTTTCTTTCTTTCCTGTCACTCTAATGACCTTCGCTTTCTTCATGTCTGACGCCCTTTATATCATCCCACAACTCACCTGGTCTTCAGTCATTAGTGTTCAGTGCATCAAATCTATTCTTGAGATGGTCTCTGAATTCAGGTGGAATATACTCAAGGTTGTACCTTGGCTCTTGTGGACTTGTTTTAACTTTCTTCAGCTTCAATTTGCCCTTGAATATGAGCAGTTGATGGTCTATTCCACAGTCAGCCCCTGGCCTTGTTCTGACTGATGATGTTGAGCTTCTCCAACTATTTCCACAGTTGTAGTCTATTTGATTCCTGTGTATTCCATCCAGCAAGGTCCACATGTATAGTTGCTGTTCATGTTGTTGAAAAAATGTATTTCTGATGAATAAGTTGTTGGTCTTGCAAAACTCTAACGTGCGATCTCCAGTATCGTTTCCATCACCAAGGCCATACTTCCAACTACCGATTCTTTGTTTCCAACTTTCACATTTCAATCACTAGTAATTCTCAATTCATCTTGATTGCATGTTTGATCAATTTCAGACTGCAGACTTTGGTAAAATCTTCAATTTCTGCACTTTTGACCTCAGTGGTTGGTGTGTAAATTTGAATAATAGTCGTATTAACTGGTCTTCCTTGTAGGTGTATGGATATTATCCTATCACTGACAGCATTATATTTCAGGGTAGATCTTGAAATGTTCTTTCTGACCATGAATGCGATGCCATTCCTCTTCAATTTCTCATTCCTGACATGGTAGACTTTCTGATTGTCTGATTCAAAATGGGCAATACCAGTCCATTTCAGTTCACTAATGCCTAGGATATCCATCTACAGGTGCTCCATTTCATTTTTGAAAACTTCCACTTTTCCCTGATTCCTAATTTGTACATTCCACGTTCTGATTATTGAAGAAAGTTTGCAGCTGTTTCTTCTCATTTTGAGTTGTGCCACGTCAGCAAAAGAGGTCCCGAAAGCTTGACTCCATCCACATCATTAAAGTCGACTCTGCTTTGAGGAGGCAGCTCTTGCCCAGTTGTATTTTGAGTGCCTTCAAACCTGAGGGGCTCATCTTCTGGCACTCTATCAGACAATAGTTCAGCTGCCATCCATAAGGTTTTCACTGGCCAATTTTTTCAGAAGTAGATTGCCAGGTCCTTCTTCCCAGTCTGTCTTAGTCTGAAAACTATCCACCGTGGGTGCCTCCGCTGGTATTTGAAATACTGGTGGCATATCTTCTAGCATCACAGCAATATGCAACCCACCACAGTACAACAAATTTGAACAATTAGTAATCTAAAATATTAAGAACTATAAAAGTTCCAGTGGCACAGACAGTTAATTCAGGAGATGGAAAGATTGTTTTAAGCTAGTACTGGTGCAGTAAGTCTCAACTGGAGATAAAATTTGTGCTGAGTCTAAAAGGAAAGATAGAATGTAGATCGGTAGAAAGAGTGGTGATAGAGAAAGATAAAAAGATAATGTAGAGCACAATTGAGTGAGGTCTTGAATGGCAAACTAAAGAATTTGGATATTTTCCTGGAGGTAATGGAAAATTGTTTGTAACAGTTAAAATTGGAAAATTCTCATTAGGTAATATTGAATATTAAGAGAAGTTTAGGAAACGATACATGCAATGTGCAATCATAGGTATGCTGTTTTTAGCTGCTGTGGAGTTGTCCCCTGACTCATGGTGACCAATGCAGGATGGAACAAAATGCTGCCCAGTCTTGCACCATCCCCATAATTGTTTCTGGATTGGAGTGTTGTTCTTCGTAAGGTTTTCATTGGCTGATTTTCGGAAGTAGATTGCCATGCTTTTCTTCCTAGTGATTCCTAGTCTGTCATAAACTTTCTTGCTAGTCTGTCATAGCCTATGAAACCTGTTCCACATCATAGCAACACATAAGCTCCCACTGACAGTTGGGTGGTGGCTGCACATAAGGTGCATTGGTGGGAAATCAAACCCGGGTAGCCTGCATGGTATATAGGTATATAAATTGAAATAAATATATATAAACGTATTAACTGAAAGATGTATACACACTGTGTTAATTTTGGTTATTACTGAATTGTAATAATCTGAGTGGATTTTCTAAGCATTCTGTAATGAGAATTTATCAACTTTATTCTGCAGTGCTCACCAGGGGTTTCTTCTTGGGCTTCACTAAATAATATTCCAACTCATTGGACTACCGTAGGTTGTATTTGTGCCCCCTCCTCCCCACCCTCACCTCCTGACTACTCAGAAGGGCAGGGCAGCATCAGACACTCCTCTTCTCAGAGATCTTACAGCTCAACACAAAAGTACAGCTCGGGTGTAGGGAGAGAAGGAAAGGACACTCACATCAGACAGGTGCAGGGACTGCCCTGGATTTAAAGCCTTATGCCCCACAGGAGACAGTATCCTTTAAAACATTATCATGGACACAGCTTCCAGGGTCTCTGCAAAGGGCATGCCAGTTACAAAATCACTGTACTCTGAGAACCCCAAAATATGGCATCACTATCAGGTATTTATAGTTCTACACAGCCTAAATACAATGTACTAATCAAAGATTATTTTTACCACAATCAGTGTTGCTTAACAATACAGTTGAAATCCTATCCTCATCTGATTCTGTGGAACAGAGCTAGACTAAACCAAAGGTCAGATTATCATACAATGGATGAAAGGGTTTTATTAGCCCTTTGCCCATATTTATAATCATAAAATACATCAACAATAAAAGCAGGCTATTGTTGTAACTCCAGGATGTTGTGAACCTTAATGTAAACTATGGACTTTAGTTAATAATAATACATCAGTATTAGTTTATCACTTGTAACAAATGTACTGCAAGATGTTAATAATAGGAGACACAGTGTGCGGTGGGGAAAGGGGTATATGAAAACTCTGTACTTTTGTGTAATTTTTCTGTAAACCTAAAACTCCTCTAAAAAATAAAATCTTTTAAAAACAGTCAACATCTAGCAATTGGTTAGGAATGTAGAACTGGTGCTTTCAGAAAGAAGATAGAATGAAATTTGCAATTTCAGGTAGTTGAAATGTTTGGGAAGGACTGGTCATCTGGGATACGAGAATGGAAAGAAAACCGTACGTCTGAGCCTTAGAAGAGGCCAACAGTTGGGAAATGGGAGGAGGAAAAGGGACCAGCAAAGACGGAGAGAAAGGGTGGTCCATTATACAGCGGCAGAATCAGGAGAGCAAAAATAGAATCGTGGAAGCACAGGAAGGAAGTTTCAATAAGAGAATTATCGTGAGTGTCAAATATCAAAAACAGGTCAATAATTGGAAGACTTATTTCATTTAGATAATTAAATGTAAGTTCCCTGCATTTCCCTAAAACATATCCCTGTTTAAAAGACAAAACATATAGCTGCAAGGGGTTGCCCCCCGCACACACTTTCCCCACTATCCTTTCATATTTCTCTTACTCCCATAGCTGCTGGGCCAGGACTTAGCCATCCTGAGTAGACAATCTTCTAAGGCTATAAGGTAAAAAATGCCACCTATATTCCAGGACAATTCAGCTCCTAATGCCATATTTATTTCACATTTTCATAAGACTGTATTTAAACATATATGAAGTCATTCCAGAATTCCTTCTGTTGTTTACATCATTTTATTTCCTTAAAAAAAATCACTACAGTATCATTGATATTTTATGTTAGTGAGAAAGAAGGGGAGGTTAGGGTGAAATTGAAAGGGAATCGTTTCTCTTACTCTTAAGCTACAGAATGTATAACAGCTGTTCATCCTGAAGGAGAGAACTGACTAATATTTATTAGCCTCCTGCAAGAGTCAATAAAGAATTCTCAGGGAGCATGATTTTCTATACCAGCTGAACCCCAAATAGTCTTCTAGATTGGCATAAATAAGAGAAAAGCAGATTTTAGCTTCCTTAAGAATTTGTGATGTTCACCGGCTATTTTGTTTTGTCCTAGATTGGTTCTTACTTTGGCAGTGTTTTAACAACAATTGACATAGATAAAGATTCAAATACTGACATTCTTCTGGTTGGGGCTCCCATGTACATGGGAACAGAGAAAGAGGAACAAGGAAAAGTGTACGTGTACGCCCTGAATCAGGTAATGGTAACTTTGAGTCTGGTAGAAATCTAGGAGAAATCGCTTCCTTTTTTCCTTCAGTTTCAAATAACATAGTTCTAATTTTTCCACTCACTCTGTAAAAATGAACAAAGAAGTTTTTATGGCCTGTCTACCTCATCAGCCCTCGGTTTTGAAGTGAACATTTAGAATTCTAATAAAGTAGCTCAAACCCTTAGATATAGTCTCTTTGGAAATGTGAACCTTTTTTTTTTTTTTTTTTTCCTTAACAGTATACAGGATAAAAGCAGCTAAACATAACTCTCACTAAATTGCTCAATAAACTCACAGGGCAAGCTTTCATGATCTCTGGCCTGGAAGTGGGTGACATTAGCAGTCAAAGCTAGCGGAGGCAAGCTGTGGAGAAGTGAGTTTTAAGGCAATGACACCAGTAACTTTCAGAGAACTGCTATGGTCTTTGGAATATTTGCTGGGCCGGAGCGAAATTTTGTTTTCCACTCCTGACTGTTGACGTTATTTTTGGGTGAAGTATTTCTTGATTTCTCCATCAGAAGAGTGTTTTTCTGTGTGTGGTCAGTATTTATCTATTTAGATTTTTAAAATTCGTAGCATCTCTCCTGTATTATTTTATATCATAAATTATCTTTGTCCTATCATATTTTGGTTTCCTCTTGTCAACTTTTTTTTTGTCCTGTGCTGTTTTTACTTTTTTTCCATGAAAATATGTTCTTGTCCACCTCTTACTAGTACTTTATCTCCTTTACTCCCCCCACCCCCAGACAGCTTTGGAGAAAGTTTTCTTTTTGAACAGAATACATTTTCTCTTTGTTCTACAGGGAAGAATACATGTATATATCTATAGTAGGGACTTCACCCACAGTATTGGGTAAAGAAAAGATAGTGGCATGAGTTGAAGGTTTAAAAATTCAGTTCTTTGGCTTTAACAAGATGCTGTGGATTATATACTCACTCATTAAATACAGAATCCATTAAAATCCTCAGTACGTCTTCTTTCCCTCACTGCTACTCTCTGTTCCTTGAAACTCCTAACTTTGTTCTCAGAGAGGCATTTTTTTTTAAAGGAATTTTGCAACTTTTTCCATTGATGTACCAAATGGCTTTTAATAGCACTGATTTAGTATGTACTTAAAAAAAATTCCACTCTGCTGTAGTAATGATAGAAATGCATAAGTATCCTGTTTATCTTTCCTACAGACAAGGTTTGAATATCAAATGAGCCTGGAACCCATTAAGCAGACGTGCTGTTCGTCTCTGAAGCACAATTCATGCACAAAGGAAAACAAAAACGAACCATGTGGGGCTCGTTTTGGAACAGCGATTGCGGCTGTAAAAGATCTCAATCTTGATGGATTTAATGACATTGTGATAGGAGCTCCGCTAGAAGATGATCACGGAGGTGCTGTGTACATTTATCATGGAAGTGGCAAGACTATAAGGAAGGAGTATGCACAAGTAAGAAGTTTAAGCCTATGGATTCTTGCCCTTAAGTGATAAATGGGTTCAGTGCCAAGGATCACTTGCCTTGCTGCATGTGTTAGCTAATTTCTTTATTTGACTCTTAATTGGGAAACTGGATGTAATGCTCTTCTAAGTTTTATTTATACTTTTTATTTTGTCCTTTTATATAATTTCTTTTCTGTTTTTATTTGCCATATCTCCATGATCTGGTCTTTTGAAAGGATTAAAAAAAAATTTAACAATACCCCTTAACATCTGCAGTGTGTCTGAGCCTGAACAGCAGATACCACTTTCTGACTTACAGAATAATAATTATATGATTTAGACAATAAAGGAGATGAGATTATTGGTTTTAGATTCACTGTCCATGTTACTATAATAAAATTGTATTATACATTTATATTAAATTTATATGTAATTATTACTATATTTATATACACCCACTCCTCACTTGTCAACATGGTTAGGTTCCAAAGACTAAGTTTTTATGCAAAAATTGGGGTTATGTGAAAATGGAGGATGACCACATCAGATCACAAAATGGAGGATAACTACATCATTACATAACTGCCAAATTACATCATTATATAACTGCCAAACCACTGAGAATCATGGCCCAGCCAAGCTGACATATAACCTTAACCATCACAGCCAGCATTATTCTCACCTCACAACCTGGCATTCATTGCTGCCAGATGTACATCGTTAATGCACAAAATAGTCGGACAGTAGCTTTTTTACTGTTGTCGTAAATGTGAAATTTCAGATAACACAATAGTCGATATGTGAAGAGTAGGTGTATAATATGTCATCTAAACTAGTATGTTTTTATCAAATAAATTTGGATTTCTGGACGTTTATAGTTTTCTCACAAGTAATCCTCTTGGAAAAAAATTGAATAATTAAGCTTAACCTGCAGAGGATTTCTGTTATTATTGTTTCAAATTTATTGTCAGTTAACAGTACTAATCCATAAAGGTAATTTTTCCTACATACCAAAGAAAAATATCAATGTATAAAAGTATTTAAGGCACTATAATAGGGGAGTTTACAGGAATCCTTCTAATTTAATTGTCTGTTTTGTGAAACCGTAACTGTTTAGGCATTGAACAACTACTTATAACATAAAATAGAATTCACTACTCGTCAGCTCATATAATATCAAAAGAAATCAGAACATCAATTATTTCTGTTTACGTTCGACTGTTCTTGGTTCTATAGTCAACAGAGTTCTCAAAATCTATTTATATATCGAGAAGTTGTGCTTAATTTTTCATGAAGTTGTAATGACAGTTGTAGTAAAACAACAAAATAAAGGGTTTAGTTCAGTAACAATACTTCTATTCATTTACTAAATGATTTGCTTCTATTAAAATCTTCAGGGCATTATTTACTTAACCAGGAACAGCAATATTAACCTGGGGCATGATGGAATCAGGAAAGGCAGAATGGGGTTTCTTTCTTGTGTTCTACCACTTGATTGCTTCAGTATTAATCCTGCAAATTTAATAATCCAGCATTTGAAGTAGTAAAGGGAAGATTATTTTAATCATTGGTACATGGAATACGTTGTCATAAGCAATTTATTTGTAAAATGGTGGTAAATCAAGATATAACTTTAAACAAAGAATATTTGAGTCAGGTTTGTTTAATTGTCAGCAAAATACTTTCCCAACGATTGGTAAAGTTGTACTCACTTGTTTCCGTGGTGACCAGAGGTGCTGCTTGTGAAAGAGTTAGTTGATCCAGAATCAAACTGAATCAACTCCTCCAGAACCAATGAGGCAAGCATCTCCTGATTTGTTTGCTGCAAATAAGGAAATACTTCCCAATGAGCCGCAAAAAAACTAGACATGGAAATTGTTTCCCCTCAGTTTTTCTTACTTAGTTTCTTATTTTATGATTTTAAATGGAAAATAAGAGGATGAGAAAACCCCAAGTATAGGGAGGGTCTGTCAGTCCTCTCTCCTGGCCATTGGGTTCTATTATCTGCTTGAACCAAAGATCAATCAGAAAGTAAAGATATCAAACATATCATGTATGGTAATGGGCACTGATCAGTATTCAAGAACTCCATGTTCATTTGTGCTTTTCCAACATGGTGGTTACGTGTGAGTGGAATTAAATCTACTGTGTCCTTGACTTTCAAGACAACTTTTGATAGAACAATAAAGAATACGGAGTATTGGAAAATGTATTTGGTGGAATGTGTTGTTTATACCCAGTCCCAAAGGTCAGTGAACCCAGGACAATCTCCTGCTCCCCCAGTTGCTTGTATAGGTTTTCAAGATTTTCACTGCTTTTAAATGTCATTGTGTAATGCGACGAACAGAATCTAGAAAGCAGAGTCAATTACTCATGTCTTCCCGGAGGATTAGACAATATAAACAATTGTACAATTGTTTTTTTTTCCCCCACTTCTCTTGGGTGTCAGCAACCCTGAAAGGATTTTGTCTGTCCTATAAAAAGAACAATATCCTTTGGGAACATCTGAGTATTTCCTCTTGTCTCCACATGAGAGGCCTCTTGGGCAGGGTTCCAAAAGATCTTTAGTTTTAATTTTTGTTAACCATTCAAGTTTCCAGACTTATTTAAAACTGTTTTGAACAGACTCTTCCAGCATAAATAATGGTCTCTGTTGTGATTTTCACAGCGTATTCCATCAGGTGGAGATGGCAAGACACTGAAATTTTTTGGCCAATCTATCCACGGAGAAATGGATTTAAATGGTGATGGTCTGACTGATGTGACTGTCGGGGGCCTTGGTGGCGCTGCCCTCTTCTGGTATGTGTTTTAGTAACATACAATTAATTTGATAATCTTTCACACATACTTCCAGAGAGCAGGGTGGGATCAGAGCTCATGTTGTCATACCAAGTATCTATTTCCTTTTGTGCTCCATTATGCAGACCCAAGTTATTGAGTTGAATAAGCTGAAATAATCCACAAATTAGAACAATAAAGAAACTATATTAAAGAAACAAGTAGAATCAACTCTTAATTTGGGATAACTATTTTGGTATTTGACACTATGGAGAAGGAGGTCCAATAGAGGATATAGCAACACAAGAAATTGTCCCTAACTATAAGTTACTTATAACCTTTCACAACAATTTATTCTTCATTTATTTAACCTAATAGAATCAGACACAGATTTAGACAACGGTGCAGCAATGTCTGAATACATTCATATTGTTGGTCAAGCATGGAGCCATCTTCAGTAACATCCTGGCTCAGTGCTTAAAATGCCTGCATCCCCCAATTTTCTCAACTCTTCCAGCAACTCTTTCAGTTAATGGTAAAATCTTAGTCAATGGTCGGATACAAACATTAATCACATTTCTATGCCCTACGTTTAACAGTTAAAAAATACAATTTCAAAAAAATGATTATCTTTGAAAAAAATTGACTAAAAGAATAAAATACTCAGGAATAACTTTAAAGATACATGTGTGTGACCATTTTGAAGAAAGTTACAAACTTTGTTATGAAATATAAAGGAAGGATTTAAAAAATCAAACAGATATATGCCATGTGCCTTGACGGAAAGCCTACATGTTGATTCTTCTGACTTAATGCATTGGTTTAATGTAATTCAGATGGAAACAAACCTCAATAGTTGTTTTCCAAAAAATTTTATCTAGAAGAATAGTTAAGACAATTTTGAAAGAAAGAGATGAAGAGAGGTGAAGACAGATGACTTTGTCATAATGCAAGATAATGCTCAAGAACTGATGTTCAAATAAAGAATATAACATTTTGCATGCTTGATAACAATTATGTTAAAATTTTAAAAATAAAACTGTTCAGTAGAGGGAAAAGAAAGCTGAAAGGCAATGTCTGGGGAAAAGACAATGCTAAACAGAGTTTGGGTAGAGCTCACCCGAACCCAGGTTTAAAACCAGAGATTACCAGTGTCAGTAATAAAGGGTAATTTAGTTTTTGTTTTAATTGCTAATCCTGAATTAATTTATTATTCTGACTTTAACTCATAAATAGATATCGTATCCATTCTCTTATATAGAAAATATATTTTAAGAGCAATTTATTTTCTCCAGTTTTTTTCAAGGGCTTCTTCTAAAACCAAAACCAAACCCACTGCCATGGAGTCGATAGTGACTCATAGCAACCCTTTAAGACAGAGTAGAACTACTCATAGCGTTTCCAAGGCTGTAAATCTTTACAGAAGCAGACTGCCACATCTTTCTTCCGAGAAGCAGCTGGTGGGTTCGAACTGCCAACCTTTCAGTTAGCAGCCCAGTTCTTTAACCACTGCTCAACTAGGGCTCCTTCTAAGGGCTTCTTACAACATTCTCTCCAACCCCAAAACCAAAACTTTACAATTTATCATTTATCGGCCAAAATGGCAGCATTAGGCCCCATCATCACCCAGGCTTCATGACAGCAAAATGGCCCAAAGGAGGATGCTGGGATGTGCAGACCAAGATTTGCAGTGCTGGAACACAAATTGTGAGGGATACAGTTGTCAGATGTGTCTGACCCAAGCCATGGTGTTTTCAATCACCTTATATGCATGTGAAAGCTGGACAATGAATAAGGAAGACCAAAGATGAATTGACACCTTTGAATTATGGTGTTGGCAAAGAATACTGAATATACCATGGACTACCAAAAGAGTGAACAAATCTGTCTTGGAAGAAGTACAGCCAGAATGCTCCTTAGAAGCAAAGATGGTGAGACTTCATCTCACATACTTTGGACATGTTATCAGGAGGGACCAGTCCCTGGAGAAGGACATCATGCTTGGTAAAGTTGAGGGTCAGCAAAAAAGAAGACCCTCAACGAGATGGATTGACACAGTGGCTGCAACAGTGGGCTCAAGCATAACAATGACTGTGAGAACGGTGCAGGACCAGGCAGTATTTCATTCTGTTGTACATAGGGTCACTATGAGTTGGAACCTACTTGATGGCATCTGACAAGAACAACAACAACAGTTGTCAGTGATAAGCAGAGGCCACCTAGCAGGCAGGGACATCTAAGAGCAGATAGCAAGAGCCCCATCATGTGGATTGGACTGAGCCACAGTCCCTGTAAAGATCTGGTTGACACAGAAAGAGAGTATGTATAGAGGGGGGGTCATGGTCAAGGCAGCCTCAAGTGTATAGAAACCTTAGTATTAAGCAAGAAACTAGACATGTGCATTCATTGCTGATGAAAGGATAAACTCCTTAGAAGGTTGTCTTAGGCTGGGTTCTCTAGAGGAGCAAAACCAGTGAAGCATGTGTATCCCTTTCGATACCCACAGGACATATGATATCCCACCCACTTTTTATGCCTCTGGAGTTCTTTGGAAAGGAGGTAGCCTGATTTTAATGCCTTTAGCCTCAATGTGGGAGTCTTTCGAAATGTATGAAACTCAAGAACCCTGAGTTGGAACCTCATTTTTGTGTAGATTGGGCATTGTTTTAGGTGATGCCTCCTGGATGTGTGAATATTCTAAACCTTTGACAAGTTTTCCTTTATATCTGTTAGGTAAGCCTACTTATTATGTTTCCCAGTGCTATGTTCTTGTGAGAATATACTTATCATGAAAATAAGCCATTGCCAGTCTTCATTCAGTCATAGTGGTCATTTTCTCCTTGAAACCATTCATTATTTCCAGGTGTTACTGGCTCCCTGCTTTTCTGGCTTCTGAACAGTAAATAATGCTTTTGAAACAAGAAATAATGCATTGCAGTGGTACTTTTAAAGAGACCGGAACTTCTATAAGTTATTCTTACCCTTCCTTTAATCTTAGGGCCCAATCCTCACTTCCCTTTGTAGCAGGTGGAATGCACCACTGTGAGCAGTTTTGCAGTATCCCAGGCCAGCTGTTTCTGCTTCTTAGCTGTTAGTATTGCTATTGTTATAATGAAGAATACACAGTAGTGGTAATTGTCGTGAGATTCAAATTCCTTTAGTTCTACTTATTTGGACTGTCAGTACTGCTTTTGCAATAATGAAGAATGCATTGTAGTGGTAATTTTCCTGAGTTAAAAAAATCCCTTGGTTTATTTATTTGGGCTGTAAGTACTGCTTTTGCAGTAATGAAGAATGCATTGTACCATGTTTTGAAAAGCTTCATGAAAAATAATAAAAAGGCTAAGAAGGAGACTAGAATAAAATGTATGTGCAGTCGTTTCCAGGTGCCTTCATGTTTTACCTCATGCTTTGCAAATTTTCAAGAAATAAAAATTAAAAAATAAGCAATTTTGTCATTGACTTATATCAGTAGGATTTACTACATCCAGCGTCTGCTGGGACATATGTGATCCCAGAGAGTAGGCATCAAAATCCATAACTCATAACAAAAATTCTGAATTGATCCTTTAATCCTCATGCCTTCATTACTGAAAACATATACTATCAACAAAATATTCAAAGGAGAAAATAATTGCATCTTGAAAGGGATATATAAATATATAGAGAGATTTATTTCAAGAAAATGGCTCACACAGTTGTGGAGGCTGGCAAGTCCCAAATCCATGGGTCAGGCATCAGGCTGGAAGCTTCTCCTGACTCATGTGGTTTCAGGGGCTGACAAACCCAAAATTGGCAGGTCAGATGATAGGCTGCTGGCTCACTCCCTAAGAACTAATGGTCAGAGGATGACAAGTAAGATGCAGGATTGAGAAAGAGCATGCTTTGCCAGAACATCCATATATATTGAATGCAGGCCATACCAAGGAAACTCCCCTTTCAACTGATTGGCTGCTCACATCAGATTACAGAATGGAGGATGATTACATAATATCTGCCAAACCACTGAGAATCATGGCCCAGCCAAGTTGATACATAACCTTAACCATCACAAAGAGATTGGTCAATAAATGTTAAAATGCCTTAAAGTGTTCACACTTTCGGACGAGAAATACATCTCCTAAAATTTTTTAAGAATATAACCCAGAAATATAGTCAAAGATCTTTAGAGTCCTCACAGCACATCAGATTATAATCAGTGGCTTTAAAAAAGGAAATAAACTAAACATTCAATCATAGAGGACTGAGTAAACAGATTATGCTACATGCATCCTGGAACAGTTACTACCATTAAAAGAATGTTCTCAGAAAAATATGACTAGTAGAAGGCTGTTCATTATAAGTTTAAAAAGTATGCATGCATACACATGTTTAAGTGCCTGTATATGAGTATGTCTACATATATGCGTGTGCCTGATTCTGAGGCAGTGGCATCAGGCTCCGTATACTCTCCCTGCCTAAGATCTCACTCTGCTATCATTTTGAGTTAGTGGAAATCTTTGGGCTTTAGAATTGGAATGGCTATATCTATGTATGTCCGTCTCTCTATATATATTCTTCTGCAAATAAATAAACAACACTAAGTATACGAAGCAACCCTGGTGGCGTAGTGGTTAAGATCTATGGCTGCTAACAAAAGTTTGGCAGTTCGAATCCACCAGGCGCTCCTTGGAAACTCTATGGGGCAGTTCTACCCTGTCCTACAGGGTCGCTATGAGTCAGAATCGACTCGACGGCAATGGGTTTAAGCATACCAAAAGTTAATGGTGATTTTTGCTGGATGGTAGAATTAATAGTGATTTTTGTTTTCCTTGTGCATTTCTATGTTTTCTAACGAGCAAAGTGTTTTAAAAGAAAAATAACTATCATTTTTATTTTTTTCTTAAATGTTACTTATTTTGTTACTGTTGAGAATATACACAGCAAGATATACACCAATTCAACAGTTTCTACATGTACAATTTAGGGACATTAATTACATTCTTTGAGTTGTGCAACCATTCTCACCCTCCTTTTCTGAGTTGTTCCTCCCTCATTAACACAAACTCACTGCCCCATAAGGTTCCTGTCTAATCTTTCGAGTTACTGCTGTCAATTTGATCCCATATAGACAGTTCTTAAAAGAGCATAATGCTCAAGGCAGACCTTTTTTACTAGTTAAGATAAACTGTTTTTTGGTTTTAAGATGACTTCAGGGGATACTTTTTGTTTAACGTGTAAAGATTATTTCAGGGCAATAGTTTCAGGAGTCCATCCACCCTCCATGGCTCCAAAAAGTCTACAGTCCATGAGTATTATGGATTGAATTATGTCCCCCAAAAATATATGTTGTAAATCCTAACCTCTATGCCTGTGGTTATAATCCCATTTGAGAATGAGTTGTCTTTGTTACATTAATAAGAGAAGATTAGTGTAGGGTGTATCTTGAGTCAATCTCTTTTGAGATATAAAACAGATTAAACAAGCAAGCGAGTAAGCACAGATAGGGGAAGAGAGATGCCAAGCCACATGAAAATCGCCCAGGAGCAGAAGTTCAAAGAGACAAGGACCTTTCTCCAGAACAGGCAGAAAGAGAAAGCCTTCCTCTAGAGCCAGCACCCTGAATTTGGACGTCTAACCTCCCAAACTATGAGAAAATAATTTTCTGTTTGTTAAAGCTACCCACTTGTAGTATTTCTGTTATAGTAGCACTAGATAACTAAGACAATGAAAATTTTTAATTCTGTTCTGCATTTTCCTCCTTTTTATCAAGATTCTTCTATGGAATCTTTGATCAAAATGTTCAGTAATGGTAGCCAGGCACCATCCAGTTCTTCTGGTCCCATGGCAAATGAGGCAGTTTTTCATGGAGTCAAACAGCCACTCATTCCATATCCTCCTCCTATTCCTGGCTGTCCTTCTTCCTCTGTTACTCCAGGTGAATAGGGATCAATTGTTGTGCCTTGGATGGTTGCTTGCAAGTTTTTAAGACCACAGGCACTATGCAATGAACTAGGAGGTAGAACAGAAGCACTGAAGACATTATTAGGCCAGTTAACTGGGATGTCCCATGAAACCATGACCCTAAACTTCCACACCAAGAAACCAAATTCCATGAGGTGTTTGGTTGCACATAAGCAGCCTAAGCAGCTACTCTTTTTCTTTTTTCTTTTTTGTCATTGTTGTAAATACATCTATGACACTACTTTTGCCAATTTAACTTTTTACAGGTGTACAACTTGACAGCAGTTACAATAATTGTCTCTGCAACCCTACCCTTAATCAGTGTGATTTTAACTATCATTTTTAAACATGCAAAAGCTTAATCAGAGACTTAAGTATATACAAGAAAAAGACACTGTTACTAAAGCTCGCCTATAAAGAGCCTGTTTGGGTCAAAAGGCAGAAAGCAAGCAAAGGTGTCCTTCAATTATGACCACCTGATTTTGAGGCAGTGGCCTCAGGCTCCATATACCCCCCTGCCTAAAATCACACTCTGCTATCCTTTTGGGTTAGTGGAAATCTCTGTGCTTTGGAATTAGAATGGCTGGATTTAAATCCCAGTTTTGCTCTCTTAACAGTTTTTGCCCTTGGGTAAAGTATTTAACTGCTCAGAGCTTCAGTTACCTCACATATGATACCAGAGATAATAATATTTCTTATTACTAGAGTTAATTTCAGATTTAAATGAGATAACATGTGTGCCTAGTACAATGCTTTAAATGTTATTTTGCTTTTGCTTCCTAGAAATAGGAGCAGGGCTGAACCTACAAGAACAGCCAAGTATTACAGTCCAGAAAGAGCCAGCAGGGGTCCATAAATCTTGCAGGGTCCTCTGCACCCTTTTCTACGCTAGAAACAACCCCAGAGATCCTCCAAATGTTGTTTTGGTTCCGAGGTTGCACCTACCTGGGCACTTCGTTCCATCTTTTTTCCATCACAAGGAAAAGAAAGTGTTTGATCTATGAACCAAAAGCCCAAGATGGTTCTAAAACAACCTGGATGCCCTCAGAACATCAGATGCAATCTCTTCTGTATCAAAAAGTTACCAAAGAATGATGTCCTGAGAACCCATACTATACACAAAGAAGGCTCCCCTTGGATGCATTCACACTGCACTCCCAAATTGATAACATTCACTTAATGTAAAAATGTGAGTAATCACATTTATGTGTTTGTAGGTCCCGAGATGTGGCTGTAGTTAAAGTAACCATGAATTTTGAACCCAATAAAGTGAATATTCAAAAGAAAAACTGCCATGTGGAAGGAAAGGAAACAGTGTGCATAAATGCTACAGTGTGTTTTGATGTGAAATTAAAGTCCAAAGAAGACACAGTGTACGAAGCTGGTAAGTGTAATACATATAGAAAGTACTTTTGGGTGAGAGGACAATGTATTTGTTCCATCATGATGAAATCAGTAGGTTATTGTAACTCCTCCCACCATAGTGACCTGTGCAACATACTTGCCCCTGTGAACCTGTCGAGCCTTGAAAACTATTCTGCTGCACAAGGAATAGGTCATGCAACCCAATAAATTTTGGAGCAGAAACAAAATATTTTTATTTGATGGACTCACTACTCCATAGTTTCCCTTCAGGCTTCCCCATTTACTACAAACAATTGAGTGCTGAAGAAAAATAAGATACCAATTCAGAAGTACAGTTTAGAAATTGGGCTCCAAATGATCCCCATTTTCCTTCCCATGGGTTTTCATGAAGCACCCTCTTTCCCCTTCTCCTCCCCCTCCCAGGGAAGACTGGTATTGCACAGGACTTGAATACTTTGCCCACCCCCACATCCTGATTCTCATCGCTCCATTCTGAAGGAGACCCTAATTTTTGAGAGTCAGACATGTTGCATGTGTGCTCTCAGATAAGATACTTCACGTCAGCCTGTACACCCTCCCTCCTCTCTACAGGCTACACTTCCTGAGGTAGTTTTTTAATGATGTTGAAACATGTTGGAATCAAAGCTATGAAGTCCATGGCTGTAGAAGAGACCAAACATGAATAGAATGAAAAAGATCACTCTTCTTTAAAGTCTGTTTTTCTTAGTTTGCTCTATGTGTGTGTGTATATACGTACATACATATGTATACATATATGTATATATACACACAATCCTCATATTAGAATATATGTAAGGTATAGGATATAAATTAATAATTTAGGTTTTCATATGCAACATTATTTCATAATCTCACTTAATTTTTATACAGTAATAAATGATGAAATAATGAGGATTATAGCCTTCACAGAAAGTATAAGGTTTAATTTGTTTCCTTATTGTGGTTTGCTTATGTCATTAAACTCGATAGTGCTTTGAACATATTCTAAAATGATGTATTCCCACAAAATAGGTTAAAATGTCATTAATGTATATTTTTGTCTCTATTAAAATATAATTGAAATTACAAGCAGTGCTCCAACATTTTTAAATTTTAAAAAAATTTAAATGAAATCCAGTAAAAACTCTATAATCTGAATTTGACATGTAAGGAAATGACGTGATATATGTGTGTGTGTGCGTGTGTACGTGTAAAAAGTAAGCATAAGTAAACATCAAAACCATACTGAACTCAGAAAGCAGTTCTGTAGAGTTCGTCAAGGTAATCATAACTGTGAATATCATTGTACTACCGTAGTGTCGATATGCTAAATAACAAAACTTTTTTGTTGATCGATTCCTGGTTAGATTTTTCTACAATGTTAATTTAAAGATCTGCACCATATGAAAATCATTCCAAATAAATATTTCTGTCAATTATACATTTTTTTTATGTTTATAGATTTGCAGTACCGTGTCACATTAGATTCACTAAGACAGATATCACGAAGTTTTTTCTCTGGAACTCAAGAAAGAAAGATTCAAAGAAACATCACAGTTCGAGACTCTGAATGCACTAAGCACTTCTTCTACATGTTGGCAAGTAAATCATATATTATAGCTGCCTTATTCCAAATCAATAATAAAGCATAGCTGTCTTATTTCAAGTCAATTGAATTCTTACTGTCTTATACACCATAGAGTAAACCAAAGCTTCAAACTGATTTGAACCAGTTTAGTCATGGCAGACGAAGCTAAACTGGAACAGATCTGAATTTTTACAATTTGAATGATCTGGAATGATAACCTGAATGGGAAAAATTAAAGGTCAGAGCCTTGGAATGGGAAACTCAGAAGAAGCATGGTGAGCCCTTTCAGGAGCCTGATGTGTGAAATTGGATTACTGGCAGGACTGTGGAGAGTGACACACATTCAAAGTGATGTGGTCGGCCTCCATCTTGGAGCAGGGCACCACTGTTTCCAACTCTGCTTAAAATCCGAAGGGCAAGAGATTTGGTTGCTATGCAACATGTACACTGCCCTTGTTTTCTAAGAGGGAGATTAGATTTCTAGCAGGGGTTCAACCCATAATTTTTCCTGTTCCAGTTATCATTCCAGTTCACTCAAATTTTAAAAATTCAGTCTGTTCTGGTTTTGCTTCCTCAGTCATGACTGAACAGGGAAGGACCAGTTCAAAGCCCTAGAGTAAACTTTGTCAGTTCGCTTATATCAGAAAATCACAGATCTGATCTTCTCATTTCCAAATACATCTCATAAAACTATCCTTAGCTTCCCCTGTTGTGTTTCAGACATCTATATACTGTGGAATAATAAAAAACATAGTGCGCTTGTTGACAATAGGCCTAGATTCATTCATTTATTCTTCCAATTTGAAAACATTATTTAACTTTTGTGGGCCTCATCTGTGAAATGTGGATGATAAATATTTAATTGACCCGAAGGCAGACTGTTGGGCTATATGCTTTCTGGGGTCTCTTCTTGACCCCTGAATCTTGCTGTTTGACTTTATATTGAAACAAACAAAATCTGGTGTTTTCTGTCATTTGTAGGCTTTGTGCTACTTTAGTTTCTTTCAATTTTAGTGGATGAGTGAGGCTTGGAAAGCAAATTATTAATTGCTAGAGGTGAATGGTAAATGAGTTTGAATTATTTTGAATGTATTATGTTGGGATACTTTGTATATGGAGAGGGTCCCAATTAAGGGCAAGGGTTTCTTCCATTATATTATAATGACTTGCTTAAAATGTACCCAGTACTAACAAAAAAAAAGCAGGATGGAGGAATGAGATAACACTGGTCTAGTAACTGTGATAGAGGCTTAGAGATGAGAACATGATCTTGAGTTTTAAAGGAAACAGGCTAGTTTTCCCATTTCTGATTTATTTTTATACTCTAGATGTATTCATATTCTGTATTTTGAAAATTGTAGTAAAGAGCAGAAAAGTGGTAGAAAATGTGCATCCCTGTGCACCGTATTTATTCTCCCTCAGTAATTTTTATGTCAACATTCCCCATGATATATATCGAAATAACTTATTCTGTCCACCCTATGATCAATCTATGATCTGAAAAAATAAAACCAGAATTGTACCTCCTATTCTGTTAATAAGAACTGAACATTAAGGAGTTAGAACTTGGAGAAAAGTTGAAAGGACATGAAACCAGATACGGCACTGCTTCCAACCTGATAAAACTCACTGTGGTTTAAAATTTTCCCCAAACACAGGATCTAAACTACATCTAGATAGGAGTGCTAAAAGAAATGAATTAGTTTTAAAACTTTCAAAGTTATTTTGGTTTATAATGGATACTTCTAGCATTTTTTCTGGAGTCAGCCAGGCTGAGGTTCATATCCTAGCTTTCCCACATTCTGAGTGACTTAGAGGCTTAGTTTTTCATCTGCAAAATAAGAACCATAATAGTTACTCACCTTGGAGGATTGTTGAAATAATTAGCAATGATATGTATAAAGCTCATAATACTGAGCACTCAATAAATGATGGCTGTTATTGATGATAATCTTAACAATATCAATCATATTCACATAACTATATATCATTTCACATTATAAAATTCTTACAGTTCTAGCTATATATTATATTTATGAAATGCAACTCAATTCAAAGGAAGCCTACCCATCTGGAGTTGGGAGACTTTTCTAAAGTATTATATAGTGATTTTTAACTTCAGGCCTCAAGAGCAATGATACCATTATACAAGTAGCTCAGAGGGGTGTATCCTGATATGGCAAAGTATGACATAACCCACTGCTCCAGCAGTCCCCTCTGAGGAGCTGTACGTGAATTGACTGGTCATAATCTGAAGCCTCTGCACTTCAGCTGTTTCCTTCATCAGAGTACAATGGCAGGTGCCCTCTCCAGTGAAGCAAAAGCCTGATGGGGTCATGTGTCAGCTTAGATGCATAAGAATGTTCCAGTAAGCCTGACCCACAGGGGCAAAAGAAGGAAGCCATAACAAGGTCAGAGCATGCAATAAATATGATACCAATGATATATTTTATGTTTCAATCTCTAGGACAAGCATGACTTTCGAGACTCTGTGAGGATAACTTTGGATTTTAATCTTACTGATCCAGAAAATGGGCCTGTTCTTGATGATTTTCTACCAAACTCAGTACATGAATATGTAAGTCAAATTTTAAAAAAAAATTGGAATACTTATTTATGAATACGTTAGGAAAAAACCTGAAACACACATACCTCTAAACCAATTATATTTAAAATAAACAGACAACAACAACAAAAGAATTAGACTCTTACACCTTTCTCAATCCTTCCAACTTCCCATTGTTGAAGTTTAAGGGAATTAATAAATGACATCCATTTTTACTTTGCCCAAATTCAGAACAAGTGGAAAGAAAGACATAAAAGTCGGCCAGTCTGAGATTAAAATCCCTCCTTTATTGCTAATAAAGATTGTGTTGCAGGGCACGGTTTGGATATGTGGCAATATTGAGTGTCCTCAAAGTAAACCACAGACTTAGGCCACAGATATCCAACTAGGTCTCCAACAATGCTGGTCAATCTCAGGCCTTCTTCATGGGGACCACCTTGTAAAACTTGCAAAATAAAGAAAAGAGCAGAATGTATGCTTCCTGTGAGCACATTGCCACCCCAAGAGCAGAAAAGATACAAATGGACTGAGCTGTGTTTGCCGGGTTCCTGCTTCCAAATTTACAGAGTCCACTGCCCCATCACTGAGAAAGAGTGAATGAGAGTAGAAACGGGGAGCAGGACACAAGTGTGGCACCAATGGAGGAAACATTAGGGATGAGAAATCAGTTCCCCATACACCTATCCTCTGCCCGCCTTTCCTTCCCTTCCCTCCTTCCAAAAACACTTATTGAGTGTCTTATACACATCAAGCACTGAAGCTTACAATCTAGCCTGGAATGTTATTGTTGTTAGCTGCCTTCTAGTCCACTCCGACTCATGGCAACCTTACGTATAACAGAACAGAATGTTGCCTGGTCCTGCATCATCCTCACAAAAATGAGCATTTTCGAGTTCATCCTTGTGCTCATTGTGTTAATCCATCTCACCAAGCATATTCCTCGCCCTAGTTGGCCCTCTACTTCACCAAACATGACGCCCTTCTCTAACGATCGATCCTTCCTGATGACATGTCTGAAGCAAATGAGTCAGACATTGTTCTGTAGCTTATCTGTCAGTTTGTTGTACTGTGGTGGCTTGTCTGTTGCCAAGATGCTGGAAGTTATGCTACCAGTATTTCAAATACCGGCAGAGTCAGCCATGGTGGACAAGTTTCAGTGGAGCTTCCAGACTAAGACAACTAGGAAGAAAGCCTGGTGATCTACTTCCAAAAATTAGCCAATGAAAATCTTCTGGAAAACCTAGCCTGGAAAATAGATATTAAATATTGACAATTAGAGTGGATGCTAAGGAGGAGAGTTTCCGAGCTCTATGGAGTTTCTCTGCTGCAAAAGACCCCTTTAAAGTGTTAAAAAGCAAAGATGTCACTTTGAGGATAAAGGTGCACCTGACCCAAGCCATGGTATTTTCAATTGCCTCATATGTATGTAAAAGCTGAACAATGAATAAAGAAGACTGAAGAAGAATTGATGCCTTTGAATTATGGTGTTGGCAAAGAATACTGAATATACTGTGGACTTCCAGATGAACGAACAAATTTGTCTTAGAAGAAGTATAGCTGGAATGCTTCTTTGAAGCAAAGATGGCAAGATTTCATCTCATGTACTTTGGACACGTTATCAGGAGGGCCCAGTCCCTAGAGAAGGATATCATGCTTGGTAAAGTACACAGTCTATGAAAAAGAGGAAGACCCTCAAAGAGATGGATTGACACAGTGGCTGCAACAATGGGCTCAAACACAGCAACAATTATAAGTTTGGTGCAGGACTGGACAGTATTTTATTCTATTCTACATAGGGTCTCTATGAGTCAGAACCAACTCAACGGCACCTAACAACAACAATGGAGCTTCTACCTAGACTGGGGAGTCAAGAGGTGCTCCCTGGGGTTATCGTATTTAATTTGAAACCTGAATGATGGGATAATTTTTCTAAAATATTTAGAGGAGTTGAGGGAGAAGTGTTCCAGGCAGAGGGAATGGTATGTGTGAAGGTCCTGAGGCATAAAAGAAACTAAACTAAACTCACTAGTGTGGCTGAAGCTAAAGACAAGGAGGGAAGGTGGAGTGAGATGAGGCCGAGGGACAGGCAGAGGCCAGATCATTTAGGACTTTTCCTTTATTCTGTACAGATTTTAAACTTTTTAAAGAGCAGTAGAATGCTACTGAAGGTTTTAATAGGTTCAGTACTAGGACTTGATTTGTGTTTTATAAGAATTACTTCAGCTACAATATGGACAATGATTAGAGGGAAACAAGAATGGATACAGGAGGCTAGATAGGAGCATGTCCCTTTAGTTCTGGGAGGAAATTAGGATGCCTGGACTAGAGAGGTAGCGGTGGAAATGGAGAGGAATGAAAGAATTTGAGAGATATTTAGAAGAGGGGTAGAATGGACAGTTCTTGGTGATGGGTTGAACATGAGAGACAGGTATAATGAAGACAAGACAAGGACAACAATGGCTTGACCATTCTCTGCCCTTTTGACTGAGCTCCATTATGTTCATAGCTACTGGATTGTGATTGTTTTTAATAGAAAAGCGTATCATTAGAGTTAAGTGTTAAAGTGTTATTTGACACATTTAGAACTTAGGGCGCTTGATTTGATTTTCTGATGTTGTTCTACATTGGCAAATTAAGGTCAGTGGGAAAAAAGTCTATGGAAACTGTGCAATCTTTAAAGGTCTAGAAGAATGTATATCCAAAAGTAAAAGATTGTTTTTCTCCCCTATAAATTACAGAAACCAATATAAAACCTCTTAGGATCTCTGCAGTGAAATCTATTCTCTTTGTGAGTTGCTTAAGCTTATTTTGGCAATTTTCCACATTCGGTGGGATCACCTTTCTGGGGAATAGGCATTAATATAGATCTCTTCCAGTGTATTGGCCAGGTAGCTGTCTTCCATAGTTCTTAGCATGGACAAGTGAGTACTTCCAGAGCTGCATCTGTTTGTTGAAACATCTCAACTGGTGTTCTGTCAAGTCCTGGAGATTTGTTTTTTGTAAATGCCTTCAGTGCAGCTTAGATTTCTTCCTCCAGTACCATTGGTTCCTGCTCATATGGTACCTCCTGAAATGGTTGAACACTGACCAATTATTTTTGACTAGAAGAAATCTGTATTTGTGCCTATTCCCAAGAAAGATGATCCCACCTAATGCAGAAATTATTGAACAATATCATTAATATCACATGCAAATAAAATTTTGCTGAAGATCATTCAAAAGGGGTTGCAGCAGTATATCGACAGGGAACTGCCAGAAATTCAAGACGGATTCAGAAGAGGACATGGAACCAGGGATATCATTGCTGATGTCAGATGGATCCTTGCTGAAAACAGAGAATACCAGAAGTTTACGTGTGTTTTATTGACTCTGCAAAGGCATTCAACTGTGTGGATCATAACAAATTATGGATAACACTGAAAAGAATCAGAATTCCAGAACACTTAATTGTGCTCATGAGGAACCTGTACATAGATCAAGAGGCAGTCATTTAAACAGAACAAGGGGATACTGCACGGTTTAAAGTCAGGAAAGGTGTGTGTCAGGGTTGTATCCTTTCACCATACCTATTCAGTCTATGTGCTGAGCAAATAATCTGAGAAGCTGGACTATACGAAGAAGAATGGGACATCAGAATTGGAGAAAGACTCATTAACAACCTGTGTTATGCAAATGACACAATCTTGCTTGCTGAAAATGAAGAGGACTTGAAGCACTTACTGATGAAGATCAAAGACCGCAGCCTTCAGTATGGATTACACCTCAACATAAAGAAAACAAAAACCCTCACCACTGGACCAATAAGCAACATCATGATAAACAGGGAAAAGATTGAAGTTGTCAAGGATTTCATTTTACTTGGATCCACAATCAATGCCCATGGAAGCAGCAGTCAAGAAATCAAAAGATGCATTGCATTGGGGAAATCTGCTGCAAAAGACCTCTTTAAAGTGTTGAAAAGCAATGATATCACCTTGAGAACTTAGGTGCACCTGACCCAAACCATGGTATTTTCAGTCACCTTCTATGCATGTGAAAGCTGACGATGAATAAAGAAGAGTGAAGAAGAATTGATGCCTTTGAATTGTGGTGTTGGAGAAGAATATTGAATATACCATGGACTGCCAAAAGAACGAACAAATCTGTTCTGTAAGAATGCTCCTTAGAAGCAAGGTTGGCAAGATTACGTCTCACATACTTTGGACATTTTGTCAGGAGGGTTCAGTCCCTGGAGAACGACATCATACTTGGTAGAGGGTCAGTGAAAAAGAGGAAGACCCTCAATAAGATGGATTGACACAGTGGCTTCAACAACGGGCTTAAGCATAACAACGATTGTGAGGATGGCGCAGGACTGGGCAGTGTTTCGTTCTGTTGTACATAGGGTCTGTATGAGTCAGAACCAACTCGATGGCACCTAACAACAACAACATTTTGTCAGTAAGTCGTTTCTGTTATACAGATTAATAGGTAATTTTTCAATAATGCTTAACTAAATTTCGAAAAAAAAATTTCTATGACCATTTCAGATTCCTTTTGCCAAAGATTGTGGAAACAAGGAAAAATGTATCTCCGACCTTGACCTGGTTGCTTCCACAACAGAAAAGGGCCTGCTGATCGTCAAGTCCCACAATGATAAGTTCAACGTTAGCCTAACAGTCAAAAATAAAAGGGACAGTGCCTATAACACCAGGACAATCGCGCACTATTCTCCAAACCTAATTTTTTCAGGAATTGAGGTAAACTTTTAGTTGTTCAATCGTTTATTCTAATAACAATCAACTTTGAAGCTACTTTTTATACTACTGAACTAAATGTTTCTATTATATTGATTTTAGAAGAATAGAAAATATTTTGTACGAAATTGATAGGGCGCAGTGATTAAGAGCTCGGCTGCTAACCAGAAATTTGGCAGTTCAAATTCACCAGCCACTCCTTAGAAACCATGTGGGGCAGTTCTACTCTATCCTATATGGTCACTATGAGTCAGAATACAGTCAATGGCAGTGGTTTTCTTTTTCTTTTTTTTAATGGTGAAAGTAACAGGCTTTCATTTAAGCTTTTGTCTTGTTTTCCTTTGGAGATTTATGTCTCTTCTTAGATTCAGTTTAAGGAAGGATTGGTGATGTATCAAAATTGTATGTTTCACAGAGTTTGTAAACAGCTGAAATTGAGACTGAGTCAAGGAAAAAAATAAACGTAACAAAGCCAAAACAGTTTAACAGAGGTGTAAAGACAGTAACACAAGTGTTGAACAAAATATACATGTAGAAAAATCATAATATCATTTCCCCCTTTCTATGCAAAATACATTGGCAAGATTTATCTTAAATGAATGTGTCTCACTTATTCATAAAAGAAGCTTTTTGTCATTTTGGCAATAGCATATATTTTGTATAAAATACTATGTCAGACACAATTAGCATTTCCAAATTTAAACTTTACTTTTATTCTGATATCTGAAACCCCTTGAGGTAAAATTCCAAATACATTCATATGAATTAATTATACACATGATTCATATTAAGAGTCAATACAAGTATTATATGTAATATTAAAAATCTATTGTCCAGTTACTGTAAATTCAGAGTTTTCACTAATATTTCTCTCCATGTATTAGGATATTACTTAGGGACATGATGACTAAAATAGGTTTTAAAAAAATGTTATATATTACTACCATGTATTTTTTATTCAATCGAGGATATTAATAATAAAAGCAAATGTACAAAGTAATATTTGGAAAATATTGCCATTAAATTTTTCTCTGGAAAGGGGACTATATTAAAAATCATTGCCTGCATTCCCTTTCAGCTGACTTAATGGCCTTGGCAGGGGCAGAGCCATAACATCAACAGTGCATCTCCTCTACTTTAATTAATAATAACAACAATAATAATGATAAATAGCCTTTCTTGAGTTGTATTATATTCCAGGCACCATTCAAAGGACTCTATTTATTTAATTATCATTAATCCTTTTGTAAGTAGGTATTATTGTATTGCAGAATACAGAAGTTCTAAAATAAACCTTTTTTTCACATCTCTGTAATAGCATTTTACAATTGGGGGTACGTTTATTTAACTGGTGGTATAATTTTTTTTTCTTTCTTGGTAGTATATAAAATAATGTTGTGTTTCACATTCAATGACATCTTCATGAAATAGACTAGAATTAACCCCACTTGACAGAAAATCAGGCCCAAAGAGGTGAGGAATCTTGACAAGAAAGAAGCTAAATGTGGTGGAGTCAGGATTTAAATCCTGGTGATTCCAGTTCAAGAACCCTGGTAGCGGAGTTGTTAAGTGCTCGGTTGCTATCCATAAAGTTGGTGGTTCAAAACCACCAGCCACTCCAAAGCAGAAAGATGTGGCAATCTGCTTCCATAAAGATTTAAAAAAACCTATTGCCATCAAGTCAATTTCAACTCAATAGTGACCCTATAGGACAGAGTAGAACTGCTTCATAGGGTTTCCAAGGAGTGCCTAGTGGATTCAAACTAATGACCTTTTGGATAGCAGACAAACTTATAAGCCCTACGCTGCCAGGGTTTCCCCAGAAAGATTACAGCCTTGGAAATCCTATGGGGCAGTTCTCCTTTGTCCTCTCGGCTCACCGTTTGAGTCAGTATTGACTTGAAAGCAACAGGAAGGGGGAGTGAGTTCCAGTTCAGAGCACATGCTCTTACCCATTACACTAAACTCCACTAATGACTGACATTCACTATGGGCTTCTATGAGTCATCCAGTATATGTGGATTCTTCCCTCCAGCCACCACAATCTCCTTGTAAAGTGAGTACTTCTGTTGTCAATGGAGGATTTAAGCAGGATAGTAAGATGTGCTTGTCCTTTAGTCATCCTTAACCTAACTGATGTATTGGGGTTTCCATGGGCCGTGGGACATGTGATCCCAGGATGCTGTGACTCTCCCAACTAAATTAAGAAACTAATTTTGGCAAGGTAGTCACCAAGGCACAGCTAGGAAAATTCTAGAAAACCAAGGTCAAACAGGAAGCCTGCTTGTTTGCTATAATTCTTTCTACTTTTCTTTCTAGGCTATTCAAAAAGACAGTTGTGAATCCAATCATAATATCACATGTAAAGTTGGATATCCTTTCCTGAGAGGAGGAGAAGAGGTGAGCAAACTATATATACTAAATGCACATGGAAATGCAGATATGAAAAATAATATTCTCAAAGGCAAATATATAAATCTTCCTGATAGTAGTTTCGGGTGATGTAGATGAAGAAGGTTGAGTTCAAAATTTGACAGCTTGGAATCAAAGCTGATTGTTTCATAAGTCAAACTCAAACACCAAGAACAAAATATAAATTTGCACTGGATAATTATCAGATAAAATGGAGCTGGGAAATTCTGATCATGGAGAGTCTCCTATGTAGTAGGCTTTTCTAGACTGTAGGGAAAAGAAATACTCTTCTAAATTGGTTGGCTTAGAATATCTTTCTTTTTTCTTTTTGACAGCTTTATTGAGATATAAGTCACATACCATACAATTCACCCATTTAAAGTTTACAAATCAGAGGTTTTTAGTATAGTCGCAGAATTAAATAATCATCATCACAATAAATTTTAGAATATTTTTATTACCCCTTAAAGAAATCCTGTACTATTACCAGTCACTCCCTATATTTCCCTATGCCTCCTCCACCTACCATCATAGGCAACCACTAGTCTGCTTTTTGTATCTATGGATTTGCCACTTCTGGACATCTCACTTAAATGCAATATACACTAGCCATAAAAACTTTGAAAATGAATTTAAGAAAATAATTCCATTTACGATAGCATCAAAAAGATTAAAGTACTTAAGAATAAATTTAACCAAAGAAGTGCAAAACTTGTACTCTGAAAGCTACAAACCATTTATGAAAGTAAGTTAAAAAAATTTTTTTTATTGCTAGTGTATATTGGGAGTCCTGGTGGTGCAGTGGTTAAGAGCTCAGGCTGCTAACCAAATGGTCAGCAGTTCGAATCCAACAGCCACCTTGGAAACCCTATGGCACAGTTCTGCTCAGTCCTATAGGACTACGAGTGGGAATCGACTTGATGGCACCTAACAACAACAACAACAACAACAGTGTATATTGATCTTGTAATCTGCAACCTTGCTGAACTTGTTTATTAGCACTAATTTTTTTTTTTTTTTTGAGCTGATTCCTTAGGATACTACTATACAAAATCCTATCATTTGCAAATAGAGGCATCTTTTCCAGTCTGGATGCTTTTTATTTCTAATTCTTGATTAATTGCCTTGCTAGAACTTCCAGTACAATACTGAATAGAAGTGAGGAGAGCCCTTTCATCTCTTTTTAAAGATAACGTTTGTTTCCATAAAGAGCAGAGAGTAATTGTTTCACTCAGTGATAACAACATATTTGTATACATTTTCGTTGAATGTTGCTTTTTAGTATGAATATTTGCGTCTCTATTTACTATTGAGTTAAGGAGGGAAATATTTAGTTGATCAAAATGATTAAGAAGATATTTTACTTATTGACTTAGAGTTACCAAAGCAAAACAGTATTCCACATATTTATTTCAACCTTATTACATTAAAATATTATATAAGATTTCAAAACAGATCCCTGACATCTTTAACACACATCTTAAATAGACAATAACCTGATAAACACTGGTTTGGACAGTCTGGAAATGGAAGATTCATATATCTATAATGAAATATTTCAGCTTTTCTTTTAGCAAGTGAGAGCTCGAAAGGGCCTTTCCCCTTGTAGCACTTGCCATGGTTACTAGTGATCCAGGAAACTAACCACAGATCACAGCCATTTCCATTAAACTCAGTAAGTCTCTCCTACGTCTGTTTTAGCTTTTTGGAAATAACTAGAGGTACCAGTTTACTTTTGCACCTCAGCTTATTGTTTATTTCTTGACTATCTCAAGTTAAAGTACTGTGGAATTGTATTTCTTCCCTGTTGTTGTTGTTAGGTGCTGTTGAGTTGGTTCCAACTCATAGCAACCCTATCTACAACAGAGCAAAACGCTGCCTGGTCCTGTACCATCCTCACAGTCGTTGCTATGTTTGATCACATTTCTTTCCTACAAATCTATAAAACACACTCTCACTTTTGCAAAAATACAACCATTATTCCTTAGTTAAACATGGAAATAAGGGTTCTTAACTCATGTTTGTACCTTCCTTTGACCACTTTAATTCACCGTGAAATTATCTCCATTTCTTTTAAGAACAGCGACATACTTAGAGTTATATTTGAACAGTGAGAAACATTAATTGCAATCTTAACAGTTTCATAATTATTTCTTCCTTTCTACCCTGCTGCTTAGGGTAAAAGCTTAAACCAAAGTGTCTCTTATATCATCATTATGGAAATGGGAAAGGAGCCCTGGTGACACAGTGGTTAAAGCACGCAGTTCGAACCCACCAGCCTGCTCAGTGGGAGAAAGATGTGGCAGTCTGCTTTCGTAAAGATTGACAGCCTTGGAAACCCCAGGGGGCGGTTCTACTCTGTCCTATAGGGTCACTATGAGTTGCAATCAACTAGACAGAAATGGGTTTCGGTATAGAAATGGGAAGATAATTTGCAAGTAATTTCAACATGGGCTTTACCTTTAGAATATTCTTTTGTTTCAATATTTAGATTTGCAGTTTAAATCTTCAGGGTCAGGGCCACATGCAATAGGTAGCTTCTTCAGCCCCACTTCTCTGCTAGTGTCTACCCCTTGGTGTGAAGGCTCATCAGAAATGCAAAAACTTAGATGCCCGAGCCAGTCAGTGAGCATAAGGAAAGGCAGGAGGTGGGAACGGAGCTCTCTGAGAGATTTTGGCAATTTCACCCTTTTCTACTGTAGTTCAGACCCATCCAGTAAAGCTACTACTGGAATTGTGGTTACTATTTTAAAGCAAGAAGCAAACTGGAAGGACTACAGATTCTTACAAGAATTCTTTTGGGGATTTAAAGTTTATTTTTTGTTTTTCTTATGAAGCTCAAAATATATGTGGGAAAAGAAAATACTTGAAGTTTCCAAATTAAAGCGACTTTAATCATGACTAATCCCTGGGTGAAGCAAATGGTTAAGCTCTCTACTGCTAGTTGAAAGGTTAGCAGTTGGAACCCGCCCAGAGGCACCTAGGAAGACAGGTTTGGTAATCTGCTTCTGAAAAGTCACAGCCTTGAAAACCCTATAGAGCAGTTCTACTCTGTATACATGGGGTCACCTTGAGTTGGAATTGACAGTAACAAACAACAACAATTCATAATTACAATGATTATGATTATAGTAATGTTAATATATCACTATATATATTGATTATAATTATGGTAATTTAATAAGATAAGCAGGATGTGCCTTCATGGTAATAGTTTATGATTAGTATAAATAATTTTTTTTAATTATTGGAGGAAGTGTTTAAATTCAGTATTAATATGTAATATCAATATTAATATGCTTATTACATATTTACATTTAAAAAGTACATGTATCTTTTTTGTTATATCTGTTTTGAGATGGAGTGAGGTTTTATTTTGTAAGATAATAGTTCTTAAACAACTTTACAATTTGAGTTTATGTAATATTATGTAAATTAAATATTTTAATCAAAGTAAATGTTTTCTTTATCATGTTACTAAAGACATGTATTTTTATTTCAAAAGGTGACTTTCAAAATATTATTTCAGTTTAACACATCTTATCTTATGGAAAATGTCATCATTCATTTAAGTGCAACAAGGTTGGTTTATTTGTATATATGAATGTATTTGTGTGTGTGTGTATGTGTGTGTGTGTATGTAATTGCTTTCATTAGAATATTTTGCTTATAGACTCACTGGAAGCTTCTTATAGATTATACAGAATCAGTAGAAATGGAAGGCAATGAACCACTTTGCTTCACAAAAACACACCTATGAGTAATTAGCAAAATAAAGAAATTTTTATTTAATAGAAGTAATACACCTAAATAGATTAAATTATTGGTTCTATGAGCTATAGAATATAGTATAATCACATATCACTTATTTTCTGCCAAACTGCATTTAAATTCATTTAAAATTTCACAGGCCCTCCTAATTAAAAACTTTTACTGGCTGCCCATATGGTCACCTGAATCATTAGATGGACTTAAAGTTTTATGATGCTCTTTTGTAGTTTAAGAAATTGTATTCAGATTAGTCAAATCTTCTGATCAGACTTAAAACAGCAAAATGCTAAGGAAATTGAAACAGTAGCTTAACTTTCCTGTAAGTATCCACTGGACCATAGGTTCTTTGAAATCAAGCTCTTTCTTTTGTTCTTTATTCTCCAGTATCTAGCATGGTGCCTGACAAATAGCACTAAATAAATGTAGAGTGAATGACTAAATGGACAAATGAATGAATGGGTGGATGAATTCTGTATGCTCAATTCAATTAAAATCTACAAATATTTATTTGACCTCAAACATGGACAAGGTATTGAATTAATCACTGCAAAGAATATAAAATTGATATAATAATGAGCCACCTCATGTTGTGAATAATAGGGGGTTGAGACTAGTATAAATTATTGTAATACAGGGTAGAATAAGGAAAATCTATTAGAGGAATATAAACTATGTGTCAGAGAAACTAAATGGAGGGTGAAATTATATCTGCTTGGCAACTGGAATTTAAGAAAACTTTAGCCAGATTAAAATTAGGAAGGACTTTTAATGATGGTTATCATTTCAAAAGCAGAGAAGTTGGTGGGTAGGGCTAGGTGGAGCATTTCAGGCAAAATATATAGCATGAGCAAAAACACAAAGGTAGAACAATAGAGGATCTATTTGGAGAATATTGAGTAATCCATGGTAGTGAAATATAGAGGATACATAAAGTAGTAATGGGAGGGAAAGGGGGAGTGTGCATCCTACAGTGTTATGAGAGGGTACTGAATGTCAGAATGAAGCATTTTTGTCTGAATTGAGCAGGCCAGAAGAGCCAGAAAAGTTTTTGATGGAAGACATCATAAGTACAAAGCTGCTTCTTAGGAAGTTTGGCTGCAGTATGGAATGGGTGGTAGAGAAGGAGACCATTCATATGAAGAGCACTGTCATGCAAATACTTAGAACCCAGGGCAGGATGCTGCTTTCACTGTCCCATTGCTGATGTCACCCACTTTATATGCTTCAGTATAAGCAGAGCCATTAAACGTCCTCATTGCCCATTCTGTGAAACAATATGCTAAGATTTGGTCACTTGATGGAGGGTGGGGGGTGATAATAATAATGACATCAAAAACTTATTGGACATTTTCTATGTCTCAGGCACAGTTTTAAGAACTTAACACTTATTACACATTTAATGATCATTTATTAATCATTTAATCTTAAAATCCTCATTTCATAAATGAGGAAACCAAGGGACAGAGAAATTAAATACTTTGCCCAAAGTATGTCGGTGCCCAAGAATAATCCATTTAGTCTGGCCCCAGAGCCAGTGTTTGTAACCATTATGACACTGGTGTGTGTGTGTGTGTGTGTCTGTGTGTGTCTGTGTGTGTGTGTGTGTGTTTTATTACAGGGGAGTGTGAGATATGTGTATATGCATATATGAGTATGCACATATGTATGTGTAGACATAGTAAATAATTGAAATGATTACTAAAGTCAGGGAAATAAATTAGTTCTTAGCAAATAATATGAACATCAAGTACTCAGTATTGAAAGAATATTGACTGAGAAGACAGAAGATTTTAAATTTACTCTCACCTGTGTGACCCTTGCCTAGTCTCTCTTACAAGATTCTCATTAGTAACAAACAAATAAATAAATAAGAATCACATGGAGAAAACTCAAGATGGTAACTTAGTCAGACAAACTGAGTCATCCCCCTACAGCAAAGACCCGAGAAACCAAGTGAAGCAGATACAGATGACAATCCTGGAGCCCTGAGCATCAAAAGGAAGGATGAAGAACTAAATCAAACACTGAATGGAAGGAGAGATGGAATGAAAACAGTGAACAAGGAGAGTTATGGATTAGAGGTGCCCTGCCAGCCAGCCTGGTACTGTGTGGCCATCTTGAGACAAAGCAAGCAGTGACCCCGGGTGAGGAGCACAGGGAAGGCAACTTCATGGAATTTTCAGTAGGAGACAGAGAAACTGTGTAGACAAACCCGGAGTTTTGACGAGCAGAACATGAAGCAGATCTAAGAAGGGAAAGTACAGAAAGGCAGGCAAGAGCTTCAGCGATCCTGGCTACCACAGAGCAGGGAAGGAGCCAGGAACCAGAGATAGGACCACATACCACCGGCAGTCCCTGACCGTTAGGGTAGGTGGCACACACAGAGTAGTAGATCCATAGAGTGTCAGCAGGAGGTCCCCTGCCTGATCAGACTCCAGGCACACCACCCTCCTATCATTTGGCTGGGGCCAGGTCTAATGGCTGACTGCAGCTGATGGGGAGTGCACCAGCACTCACACCCAGTGACCAGAGCAATATGCTCCCCCTCCCCCTCAACTTCCTGATAACCAGAAGCATGGGCACCCCCACCACCCTGCCCACCTGAGGATCATGGAATGAGCCCCTTCCTCCCCTCCCCAGTCCCACCATGCCTGCAAATGGTGAGGAGCATCCACCCCTCCTGCCACCCCCCCTGCCACCCCACCTACCCAGCGAGCAGCAGTCTGTTCTTCCACACCACTGACCCAGTCTGTCACCCCTTACCTGCCACCCCACCCACTCAGCAAGCAGCAGCATGAGATAGAGAACTGGAAGCGACGTGCCTCCCCTGCCTGTCACCTTCCCTGCCGCCCTGCCCACCCAACAAGAGGCAGCAAGAGCTCCTGTGTTGCCAGACATGACTGACAGAGGTGCATGCCTACCCTACCCACCCCTGCTGCCACCACACCTGCCCAGCGATAGGCGGCAAGTGCTCCCTAATATTTAGGACCAATGGTCAGTGAAGCATGTCTGCCTTGCCCACTCTGATATATCAAAACAAAACAAAGCAAAAAAATGAGGGCAAAACAAATAAACATATAATTGATCAATAAATATATAAATAAATAAAATAACACCTTAATGCCTCAGAGACAGCAGACAATAACAATCATATGAAGAAACAGGATAAGCTGGCTCAAACAAGTGAGCAAAATAAAAGGAAAGAAAACATTCCCAAGGAAGATATGATAATAGAACTACCAGAGAAGGAATTCCAAATACTTATATTTAGGATCCTCAAAGAGATTAAGGAAAACACACACACACACACACACACACACACACACACACACACCAAAAAAAAAAAAAAACCCTAGAAGAATTTGGAAGACAATACAAGAACAAAATGACTTACTCAGTAGACAGTTAAAAACCATGCAGAAACAACAACTAGAAATTCAGAAGATTAACAATAAAATATCAGAAATAGATAATACTATGGAAGGACACAGAAGCAGAATTGAATACAATGGAAGAAAAAATCAGAGAAATAGAGGACAAATCCCTTGACAGTAATCTGAGGAACAATCAGAAAAAAGAAATAAAGAAAGCTTAAGAGTTATGTGGGACACTGTCAAGAGGAATAATTTACACATGATAGGAATTCCAGAAGAGGAGGAGAAAAAAAGTACAGAGAGCATTTTTAAAGTTATACTGGCAGAAAACTTCCCAAATAACATGAAAGACGAGAAGGAAGCTATCCAAGAAGCCCAATGACCCCTATGCAGGACTGATCCCAAAAGAAATTAATGAAAACATATCATAATCAAACTTTTCAAAACCAAAGACAAGGAATTCTGAAAGCAGCTCATGAAAAACGAAATATCATTTACAAAGGGGCACCAATGAGACTATGCACTGATTTCTTATCAGAAACCATGCAGGCAAGAAGGCAATGAGATGACATATAAAATCCTGAAAGAAAAGAATTGCCAACCAGGAATCATATATCCAGCAAAACTGTCTTTCAAAAATGATGGCAAAATTAAGACATTCCCAGGTAAGCAGAAATTAAGAAAAGTTGTAAAAACCAGACCAGCCTTACAAAAAAATATTAGAGGGAGTCCTTCAGATAGAGAACCAATGACATCAGACAACAACCTGAGATAAAGAAAGGCACATGACTACATCACCCAAATACCAACTGAGATTAAGATTTCACAAAAGTACAATGAAGCTATGAAAACTGACTATAGGGAACCAAAGATGTTAAGCTGTAAACAATGACAACTTCAAAACAAAGCGGGGGGGAATAAAAAGTGTAGTTATAGAACTTCCATATAGAGAGGAAGTGAAGGTGATTTCAGGATATAACAGACTGTTTTAAATTTAAAACAATAAAGGTAAACTTCAGGATAATCACAAAGAAAATTAATAAGTCTGTTCACCAAAATAAAGAAGAAGGAAATCAAGAAGACTCAGTAAACACAAAAATAACAACAACAAATGATAGGAAAAGAAAATCCATATACAAAAAAGAACTCAGCACAGAAAATTAAGAGGAACAAAGAAACCATTAACATCACACCAAAAAAGTCTAACAAAATGACAGCAATGAATTCGTGCCTATCATTAATCACACTGAATGTAAATGAATTAAATACACTCGTCAACAGACAGAGAGTGGCAGAATGGATTAAAAAACATGACCCATCAATCTGTGGCCTACAAGAGACACACCATAAACACAAAGTCATAAATAAGTTAAAAATCAAAGGAGGGAAAAAATATATCAAGCTAACAGTAACCAAAAGAGAGCAGGAGTAGCAATAATACTTTTGGATAAAATAGACTTTAAGTCAAAATCCATTATAAGAGACAGAAAGGGCGTTATATAATGATTAAAGGGTCAATTCTGAGAACCCAGAAGTGAAATTCATCCATCTATGGACAGCTGATCTTTGACAAAGGGTCGAAGTCCGTTCAATGGGAAAGGGACAGTCTCTTAACAAATGGTGTTGTGAAAACTGGATATCCATTTGCAGAAAAATGAAACAGAATCCATACCTCACATCATACACAAAACTATCTCAAAATGGATCAAAGACCTAAATGTTAAAGCTAAAACTATAAAGTCCTTATACACTACTGGTGGGATTGTAAAATGGTACAACCACTATGGAAAACAGTATGGCACTTCCTTAGAAAGCTAGAAATAGAAATGCCTTATGATTAAGCAATCCCACTCCTAGGTATATATCCTAGAGCAGTGACACGAATAGACATATAGACACCTATAGGTGTGCATTATTCACAATAGCAAAAAGATGGAAACAACCTAAGTGCCCATCATAAGATGAATGAACAAATTGTGGTACATACATACAGTGAAATACTATGCAATGATAAAGAATAATGATAAATCCATGAAACATAACATGGACAAATCTGGGGGACATTATGCTGAGTGAAATAAGTCAAACACAAAAGGACAAGTATTACATGATAGAACTTTTATAAAAAGTCAAGAATAGGACTACGCACAGAAAGCAACCTTCTTTAATGGTTACCAGGGATGGGAGAGGGAGGGAGTGGGAATCACCTACTAGGTAGATATGTGTTAATTCTGGTGATGGGAAAGGCAGTACACAATATGTGGGAAGTTAGCACAACTTGACCAAGGTAAATGAAGACACTGAGAGGTATACAAAAATAAAGGACGACTATGGTAAATGCTATAACGTACAACTTTGCAACTACAGTAATAACAAGCAAAAATATGTGAGTGGTTACATAGGTAGATATATATGCTATACACGTATGGAAGGAGTATGGGAGTACATATGTGCATGTTGCTGTTAGGTGCCGTCAAGTCGGTTTCAACTCATAGCAACCCTACGTACAACAGAACAAAACACTACCTGGTCCAGCACCATCCTCACAATCATTCCTATGTTGAGCCCATCGTTGCAGCCACAGTGTCAATCCACCTCTTTGAGGGTCTTCCTCTCCTTCACTGACTTTCTACTTTACCAAACATGCATGTGCATATATAGGTACATTTGTGGGCCTTTGTATATACACGTTTGTATATTCTTCATATGCATTTATATATACAATGTAGCACATGGCGGCAGAGTTAGGGATACTTCCTAGACATATTCAAACACCTCATGGGATTGATTTACTGGGTTTGAAGGCTCAAGACCATAGTCTCATGGGACAACTAGGTCAATTAGCATAACTTTTTCATAAAGATAATGTTCTACAACTTAGTTTGGTGAGTAGCATCTGGGGTCTTAAAAAGCTTGAGAGCAGCCATCTAAGATACAACTATTGGTCTCTTTCCATCTGGTGCAAAAGAGAGTGAAGGAAACCAAAGACTCAAGGAAGAAATCAGTCCACAGGACCAACAGCCCGTACAAACCACAGCCTCTTCTAGCCTGAGACCAGAAGAATTAGATGTTACCTGGCTACCACCTCCTACCATTCTTACCAGCAACACAATAGAAGGTCCTGGTTAAAATGAGAGAAAAATGTAGAACAAAGCTCAAAGTCACAAAAAAAGACCAGACTTAACTGGACTGATAGAGACTAGAGGTACCCCCAAGACTATTGCTCTAAGATACCCTTTTAACACTCCAGGAGGTCACCTTTCAGCCAAATAATGTATTGACCTATAATGTATTCCTACATGCGTGAGGAATGTGATCCTTTAAATAATCAACTATAAGAGACCAAAGGTCAACATTTACCCAGAAGCAAATATGAGAAGGCAAAGAGTGGCAGGGAAACTGAATGGATAGTAACAGGGCAGAAGGGGTGGAAATGGTGAGAGTGCTGACACACTGTAGGGTTTGTAACCAATATCATGGAACAATTTGTGTATGAATTGTTGAATAGGAATCTAATTTGCTGTGTAAACTTTCACCTAAAACACAATATAATATTTAAAAAAAAGAATCGCCTGGGGATGATTTATTTTAAAAATACAAATTCCTGGAACCCAACTCAGACTTCCTAAGTCCATGCTTCTAGGAGAGAGGTCCAACAACCTGTGTATTTTAACAATTGTCCCAGGGATTCTTAACCATTATTTTCACTGAAGTTTGAGAAACACTGGACTAAATCAGTGTGGTTATCAACTCTAGTGGCACATCACAGTCACTTTGGGAACTTGTAATAAGACCCATCTCTTCCCTACCCTGCTCCCACCAGTATGTTGAAAAATCAGGAATTCTACTTTTTTGTGCTTTTATTTAGTTGCATAGATAGGCTTCTTGTTCAAATGCTTAGTAATGTCTCTAGATAGTCAATAGTTTAATGATTTGTCATGAATGTGCTTGTTGTTTTCTAGTGACAGCGAAGAACCTCCCGAAGCCCTTTCTGACAATGAGGTAAACATTTCTATCCCCGTGAAATATGAAGTTGGACTACAGTTTTACAGGTAGGAAGAAACAGCACTTTTACCTTGATGCCTTGCTGCTAACTCAGTGGTTCTCAAAGTTTGGTCCCCAGTCAATAGCATCAGCAGCAGCTGGGAACTTGTTTGAGATGCAGAGTCTCAGGCCTCACCCCAGACCTTCTGAATCAGCAACTCTGAAAGCGGGGCCCAGCAGTCAGTGTTAAACAGATCCTCCAGGTGATTCTCATGCACTCTAAAGTATGACAACCAGCTCACTAAATAATCCAAAATGCGAGAGGCTAGTGATACTTTACTGATGGCAGACCATAAAAATAAGAGGATTATAGGATATACATAGAGATTTTGCTTATATTTCTTAGGTTTTACATTCAATTGACCATTTTCTGTTCTGCTATATACACTTCTGTTGGCACCTTGACTTTCCCCCCAAATTTTCCATTCACTTAAAATCAAATTTTGGCCGTTTCTAATTTTTTTTTATTTATCTTCTCTTGACTGAAGTGCTGCTTAAGAATATGTTTATACTATATTTCATTCTACCAAGTTCGTCCAAACAATATGGAGAAGATTGAATTTTTAAGTTTAGCAGTAAATACAGGACTTTAAGTTGTGAAGAGGTACTTTTTTAAAAAAAATCTAAAATTCGGCACTACTAAAAAATACTAAGTTTTTGCATGATTATTCACTCACTGTAATATGAGTGAATTCATGGAAACTTTTCACTTGGTAACAATGATAACAATTTTTATTTTTTTTAAAAAATGCACGTATTTTAATATTTAGGATCAAATAAGCATCAGCAACTGTTGAACTAAATTATGTAACCCTTCTCACCCTCCTCAAAGATTTTATTTTAGGTTTAAGTGTAGATGAATTTCCTCTTGATTTGAAACTTCCATAAGTAATTTTTGTGGGATTACATAGTATGAAGAACGAAAAAGCAAATGAAGTCAAATAAAAGTTAAACTTTATTCTATTTTATTTTTCTTCTTCCAATTAATTCTTTCTAAGCTCTGCAAGTGAATACCATATTTCAATTGCGGCCAATGAAACAGTCCCTGAAATTATTAATTCTACTGAGGACATTGGAAATGAAATTAACATCTTCTACTTGGTAAGAAATTGTCTCTAACTTAATATTGTAAAGGAGTTATTTATACGTATGTAAATTAGACAAAAGTATTAACAAACACATAGAAACATATTCCAACATTTAGTATCCATTTTCAACACATTTTCTTTATAATTTCACTATTTTAAAATAATTTTATTTATATTATTGATAATTATACTTTGAAGCCATTTAAAGACCTCGTTAGACACAATTAATTAGAATGACTTCATAGACAAATGAACTATGATCAAATAGCAACTATCCATAAAATACCATAAACCACCACTTGTCTGTTAGTTTGTCATACTGTGGTGGCTTGCATGTTGCTGTGTTGCCATGCTACGGGTATTTCAAATACCAGCAAGGTCACTCATGGTGGACAGGTTTCAGCTGAGCTTCCAGACTAAGACAAAGTAGGAAGAAGGACCTGGTGATCTACTTCTAAAAAACTGGGCGGTGAAAACCTTATGAATAGCGTCAGGATACTGCCTGATATAGTGCCAGAAGATGAGCCCCTTAGGTTAAAAGGCATTCAGAGTATGACTGGGGAAGAGCTGTCTCCTCAAAGTAGAATCGACCTTGAGGATGTGGATGCAGTTGAGCTTTCAGGACCTACATTTACTGATGTGGCACGACTCAAAATGAAGAAACATCCGCAAACATCCATTCGTAATCAGAACGTGGAATGTATGAAGTATGAATCTAGAAAAATTAGAAATCATCAAAACTGAAATGGAATGCCTAAAGATTGATATTCTAGGCATTGTTGTTGTTGTTGTTAGGTGCCTTCCGGTCGGTTTCGACTCATAGCAACCCAGTGTACAACAGAACGAAACACTGCCTGGTCCTGCACCATCCTTGCAATCGTTGTTGTGCCTGAGCTCACTGTTGGAGCCACTGTGTCAATCCATCTCCTTGAGGGTCTTCCTCTTTCGCTGACCCTCTACTTTACCAAGCATGATGTCCTTCTCCAGGAACTGGTGGCTCCTGATAACATGTCCAAAGTATGTGAGACGAAGTCTCACTGTCCTAGCCTCTATAGAGCATTCTGTCTGTACTTCTTCCAAGACAGATTTGTTCATTCTTTTGGCAGTCCATAGTGTATTCAATATTCTTCGCCAACACCATAATTCAAAGGCATCAATTCTTCTTTGGTCTTCCTTATTCATTGTTCAGCTTTCCCATGCATATGAAGCAATTGAAAACACCATAGCTTGAGTCAGGCACACCGTCCTTAAAGTGACATCTTTGCTTTTTAAGAACTTCAAAGAGGTCTTTCACTGCAGATTTGCCCAATGCAATATGTCATTTGATTTCTTGACTACTGCTTCCATGTACATTGATTGTGGATCCAAGTAAAATGAAATCTTTGACAATTTCAATCTTTTCTCTGTTTATCATGATGTCACTTATTGGTCCAGTTGTGAGAATTTTTCTTTTCTTTATGTTGAGGTATAGTTCATACTGAAGGCTGTGGTCTTTGATCTTCATCAGTAAGTGCTTCAAGTCATCTTCACTTTCAGCAAGCAAGGCTGTGTCATCTGCATATGGCAGGTTGTTAATAAGCCTTCCTCCAATCCTGATCCTCCAATCATATAGTCCAGCTTCTCAGATTATTTGCTCAGCATACAGATTGAATAAGTATGGTGAAACGATAGAACCCCGACACACACCTTTCCTGACTTTAAACCACACAATATCCCCTTGTTCTGTTCAAATGACTGCCTCTTGATCTACGTACAGGCTCTTTATGAGCACAATTAAGTATTCTGGAATTCCCATTCTTTGCAATGTTATCCATAATTTGTTATGATCCACACAGTCGAATGCCTTTGCATA